CCCTCCCCCAATGCAATGACACAAGGCAGAGATGTGGGTTGCCCTGCCCCATGAACACCCAAGGCTCCTCCCCTTGCTACCTAACAGCCCTGACAAGATGAACGAAATGGCCTAAATGAAAGAACAAATCAAAGCTCCAGAAAAAAAAAAGCCCCAGCTAAATGAAGAAGAGATAACCAACATATCACATGCATAGTTCAAAACTCTTCACATCAGGATGCTGCTCTTCTCAACAGAATTGCTTCAATATAGTCACAAATTAGAAGGGAAAATGAAGTCTATGAAAAGTGAAATAAGGAAAATGTACAAGGAACTAACATGACAGGAAGGAAACCAGGACTAAAATCAATGGTTTGGAGCAGAAGGAAGAGAGAAACATTCAACCAGAAAAGAATGAAGAAACAAGAATTCAAAACAATGAGGAGAAGCTTAGGAACCTCTAGGACATCTTTAAATGTTTCAACATCTGAATCATGGGGGTGCCAGAAGGAAAAGAGGAAGAGCAGGGAATTGAAAACTTATTTCAACAAAGAATGAAGGAGAACTTCCCCAATCTGCCAAAGGAAATAGACTTTCAGGAACTCCAGGAAGCTCACAGATTCCCCCAAAAAACCCCACGAAGACACATCATACTTACCTCAGCCAAGATTTAAGATAAGAAGAGAAACTTAAAAGCAGCAAGAGAAAAGGAGATAGTTACTTACAAAGGATCCCATTAGACCGTCAGCTGATTTCTCAAAAGAAACCTTGCAGGCAAGAAGGGGCTGGAAAGGAGTATTCCAAGTCATGAAAGGCAAGGACCTACATCCAAGATTGCTGGATTCAGCAAAGCTTGCATTTAGAATAGAAGAGCAGATAAAGTGCTTCTCAGATAAGGCCAAGTTAAAGGAGTTCATCATCACCCAGCCCTTGTTATATGACGTGTTAAAGGGACTAATCTAAGAGAGGAGATCAAAACTATGAACAGTAAACTGACAACAAACTCACGGCTATTAACAACCAAACCTTAAAGAAAATAACTAAGCAAGCAACTAGAACAGGGACAAAATCAGAGAAATGGAGATCACATAGAGGATTATCAGGAGAGGAGTGGGAGGGGGGAAAGGTATAGAGAAGAAGTAGCATAGATGGTAGGCAGAAAATAGACAGGGGGAGGGTAGGAATAGTATGGGAAATGTAGAAGCCAAAGAATGGATGGGTATGAACCATGGACATCAACTAAAGGATGGGAATGCTGGTGGGAGGGGGTGTGCAGGGTGGAGGGAAATAAAGGGAGAAAATGGGACAAATGTAATAGCACAATCAATAAAATATACTTTGAAAAAAGAAATAAACCCATTCATTAACTAATATATGCTAGAGTGAAGAAGTCCAGTATTTTAACACACTGCTAAAATCTGCCATTTTCTTGTGCTCTCACCATTTACATCTAATGTAATGTAGGTGGTGTTAGGATTCCCACTTTAATGTTTGCATCTGCAGGTCACATCTGCTCTTTGCTCTTTGCTCTTCAGGTTTCCTTTCACTGCTTTCTGTGTTTTGGGATAGTTTATTAGTATTTCATTCTAATCTCTCCACTGGAATTCTAACTACAACAGTATGTTGCTTTTTCAGTGACAGTTGTAAGTACTATAATATACAACCTCATTTCACTGATTCCACACAAAGGAGGTTATACTTCATTTCTGCAAGGTCAATGCAGAAGCCTCACAACTGTGCAGGTCCCTTTACACCCACTGCCTGGTGCTGCCATTGGAATCTGTGGTCCATCCACACAACTCACACACCCCACAAGGTGTTGTGCCCATTTCTGCTTTCAACAGCCACATATATATTTTAAAGTTAAGAGAAGAAAATATGCTATTATATTTACATAAATGCTTACTTAGATATATTCGTTCTTCTTTAATTCTTGAATTTCCAAAAATCCCTTTAGAATTATCTCCTTTCTGCTTGAAGAACTTCTCTCTTCTAATCAGGTCAGATGCTCAGGTTTCCTTTATTTCACTTTCATTCTGAAGAAAATTTGCAGAAGAATTCCAGGTGAACTTTTCTTGCCTCTCAGGTCTTTAAACCCTTCTGACCATCATGGTTTCTGATGGGAAATCTGTAGTCAGTCCAATCATGGTTCCTCCATGGGTGATGTGCCATTTCTGTCTGGGTGGATTCGATTTTCCTTGACTGGTTTGACGATGCTCATGATGTGTGTGGGATCGGTTTTCAAAGATTCATAGCTGAGTTCCCTGGGCAGGTAATCTTATGGCTCTGAAGATGTGTATGACATGGTTGGCTATCTATTTCTTCCATCATGATGTTTCTTCATAGATATCATTCTCATTTCACTCCCAGTTAAGGGATATAAACTGCCTCACAGATCCCTGAGTCTGTCTCTTTTCACTGAAAACCTGGCTGCCCTACACAGGGGCTCTTCCCTGATGCTGCAGAGGGAGTTCCCAGTGTGAGAGCAAGAGCTCTGCTCAGGGGAGGAGGGGCCCTGAGGAGGCAGAACTGACCCAGAGGTTTGAAGGGGGCAGTGAAGGAAAGGCTGGTGCTGACTGTACAAACAGGAAGTCAGGGAAGGGAATGGTTTGGGGAAAGAAAATCCCTGGTCCCAGTAGGGTCATACTTTCTTCTGACAATCAGTGACCCTTCTCCACAGCACCTCCTCATGCCACACTCTCCTCAGGAGTGGTCCTACTGGTGACAGACCCACTGGCCCCTCCAGGCACCAAGAAGAAGGCAGAACAGCCTTCCTTTTTCAGTTTCCAACTTCCAAGGTGGTCATCCACTCCACTCCATGATGCCCCACTGAGCCCCTCTGAACCATGTCCCTGATCCATCACAACACTCAAGATGCCTGGTCCTCACATCACCCTCCTTCCTGCACCTCCAATGCAGGCTTCATGCCTTTCTCCAGTTCACTCCTCTCCACCTCCTGAGGACTCTTCCTACAAGGGACCTGGTCTGAGCCTGTCTGCTCTGCTCCCTCCACCAGTTCCCACCCTCTGAACAGATTCACATTGCACCATCTGGCATTCAAGGCTGTCAGTGGCCAGGCTGGAGCTAAACTCACCAGCCCCAGGAAATACGACTCACCCTCCAAAACCAAAACCACACATTAACCACACTCCCCTCCACCCCAAACCACACACAGAAACTGAGCTATTTCAAAATCCTGTGCTATCCCCTCCTGTTCCTTCAGCCAATGTGAACCAAGTCACCTCCTTCCCAAGATTGAGACAGAAAGGAAAGCTGTCCTGTCTCATCCCAGTCAACTGTCAGTGCAGTTAACATTACAGGTTTGTGTGACTCACAAAACTAATCAACACGCCATCCATGGGCCAGATGCATGTTGGAGTTTTATGACTGATGGAGTTCATTAGCAGCAGAGCCTGCTGGCATGATGTTTTCACGTGGGGATAGCCTTTTTAAAACATAAACCTGTCCATCCCACTGACTTCAAATGCACTCCAGACATTTGCACAGTGCTCCAGATCCTGTGTGCCCAGAACACAGCCTTCACCTGACTGTGGCCACTTCTGAGAAATGGCCCAGCTCATTCTAGTTAAGGACCTTTCCCTGCCCATGGCCTCTGGACTGATTTCTGCTTATGCCTTGGGTCATCCCATCCCTGATAAGGACGCATTGTTGCCTGATGTCCCCCTGTTATTGAACCACGCTGCCTTGTTCTTTCTCCCAACATGGACAGTCTCACAAGACTGTAACTGATCCATCTGCCGTCCACATATCTGTCTCCCAGTCTTCATTCCTCTGAGCCCTGTGAGTCCAGGGACAGAGTCCAGCAGCTTCAGCAGTGACTGTCCAGGGCCTGGCACTGTGACTCCACAGGGTGACTGCTCAGTACATGCTGCCTGAGGGCCTGGCCAGTGGGAAAGAGGAAGAAAAAGGGCACTTACAGGGTCTCAGGAGAGGGAAGTGACTTACCCAAGGACACAAAGTTCAAGAAAAGGCAGAATCAGAACTGGAACAGAAATTGGGCTGCTCCTGAGTCCTGCCTGGTGTCCTCTACCCTCATGTTCTGGGACAGGGGTCACCTTCTGCATTTGGGTGTCACATGAGGTGGGTGCAGTGCTTGTGGGGTCTGCTGAGACTCAGATCTGAAATGTCCAAAGCTTGTTGTCTCTTCTGGCCTATCTTTCAGGGAGGGGCTGCTTCCCTTCCTGCCAGACCACTGATGAGGAACCCATGACCTGTCACACAGAACTCAGACCATGTGACACCCCATTTGTTATTCTGAGTTGCAGTGAATCTAGATGTTGTCTGCACACTGGTGACCATGGCAGGAAGAACCATGACCTGGACCCTCAGTGTCCTTCTCTGTCTTGGTGAGCTTTGGGGGAACAATGAGGGATGGAGTCCCATCATCTTTCAGGTCCGGGATACAAGAGACCCAGGGAATGAGCAGATTCAGTGGGGACAGAGCATCTGGGAGGAGAAGAGGTGGCTCAGCCCCAGGTCTGACCCCAGCACTCAGAGGCCCGCAACAGGCCTGGAGCTTCTGTGTGTGGATGAAGGATAATTTCACAGGAATTCTCTTCCAGGGCTGTGTTGGGGCCCATGGGACCAGGTCCAGGCAGGTGAGTAAACCTCCAAAACTCTTACTTCAGTACGATGATGCTTCTGGGACGCTGAGGACACAGAGTGGGTCCTGGCTGGCAGTGACCAGTGTGGGAGGGTCCTGGGAGTGACTGTTGGGGAGACTGAGGAGACAAGAACACCCCTGACACTATAGATCTGATTCCTTTCTAGAATTTGGCCCCAAACTCTCCATCTGGGCTGACCCAGGCCCCATCGTCAGCAAGGGGAGCCCTGTGACCATCTGGTGTCAGGGGTCTCTGCAGGCAGATGGCTACATTCTGTATAAAGAGAAGAGTTCTGAGCCCTTGAACACAACGATCATACAGGCCTCCAGCAACAAGACCGGGTTCCTCATTCAGTCCATGAGCTCACAGCACACAGGGCTGTACCAGTGTGAATATAGCACTGGGGGCACAGTGTCTGAGAGGAGTGAGCCCCTGCTCCTGGTGCTGACAGGTAAGGGGGAACCTGGGTCTCCTGCCCACTGTGGGCTCCTCCTCAGAGGATGAAGGGAACAGAGTGTGGCTTTAGGGAGGCCTCACGCCTCAGAACAGCTACTCCTGGGGAATGTGGGGTGATGGTCCTTTTTAACTCAGATCCTCCTTCTCCCTCAGGAGTGTACAGCCCACCCTCCTTCTCAGCCCACCCAGGCCCTGTGGTGACCTCAGGAGGGAACGTGTCCCTCTTGTGCAGCTCACAGTCCACATGGGACACTGTCCACCTGCTGAAGGAGGGAGGGGCTGAGCTGCCCCAATGCAGGAAATGCAGAGATCCTATGAGAGGAGGTGGCAGGCTGTCTTCCCTGTTGGCCCCGTGAACTCCTCCCATGGGGGGACCAACAGATGCTATGGTTCCAACAGCTCTGACCCCAATGTGTGGTCACAGCCCAGTGTCCTTCTGCACATCGAGGTCACAGGAGAAGTGGCCAACACTTGGCTTCAGTTTTTTCCTGTGCTCCAAATAACTGATCTAAACTTCTTGTCTAGTAAAGCCCTAGGGGATGTGGGCGTCACTGACAAGAGTTTTTGTGGACAGAACCACAGATAGGAGGTGTAGGAAAGGACAAATGAGAACTCTTCCTGCAGCCCTGGTGGGCAGTGCATCTGTGTGTCCTCTAGGTGACAATGACTCTTCTCCCCAGGTATGTATAGGGAGCCCTCCCTCTCAGCCCAGCCAAGTTTCCTTGTGCTGCCTGGGGACAGCCTGACCCTCCAGTGTGCCTCGGAACCCGGATCTGACAGATTCGCTCTGACCAAGGACGAGAGGCCCACACCCCACCAGCATCTCCATGGTCAGCACAGCCCTGACTTCCACCTGGGGCCTGTGAACCTCACCCACGGGGGCCGGTACAGGTGTTACAGTGGACACAACCTCTCCTATGTGTGGTCGGCCCCCAGTGCCCCCCAGGACATCCTGGTTACAGGTGAGGAGACTTGCCCCATCACTAGTCATGACTGTCTGCTCAGAGCTTTGGCCTGGGGTCACCATGGTGGTGACACAGTCCAGGTGAGGGTCCTGGAACGAATAGCTGAGGGGCTGAGGTCTGGCAGAGGGAGTGAGAAAGGAGGGAGTGAGGGTCATGGAGAAAGAATATGCCCATCCAGAGGGACACAGAGGAGCTGACATGGGTCACAGTCAGAGTCCCTGGGAAAGAACATGGTCCTTCAGCTCAGGGTCAAGGGCACAGGTGGAGGGATGACTCTATGCACATCACAGCCCTCCTCTCCCCAGGAAAGGACGGGAAACCCTCCCTCTCTGCACAGCCTGGGCCCTCGGTTACCTGGGGTGAGAAAGTGACTCTACAGTGTCGATCTGAGGACAGGGCTGACACCTTCCACCTGCACAGGGAGGGGTCCCTGCATCCTCCCCAGCAGCTTCATCTGCAGGACACGGCTGCCCCCTCTCAGGCCAACTTCACCATCAGCCCTGTGACCTGGGGCCACAGTGGGACCTACAGGTGCTACAGCTCACACAGCTCCTCCCCCTTCCAGCTGTCACAGCCCAGTGACCCCCTGGAGCTCCTGGTCTCAGGTGAGGAACCCCCACCCCATGTCCACTGAGGGAACAGACTCTGTCCCAGGACAGCTCTGGGCTGGGATGGGAAGGAGGGTGAAACAGTGAGGTCAACAATAATGAAATCCCACCCCAGAAAGAGACAGAGAAGATGGGGAGTCCCCGACCCTCTCCATGCCTCACCACACCTGAGGGTCCATTCAGTGCTGGTGTGTGGAGAGAGGACACTGAAGTACGTGAGGAGACAACATTTGGGGGACATCCACTGGACTATAGGAGACATGAGGAGGCAGGCACACCCACAGCCTCCCCTGTTCTTGTGTCATGCAGCAGCTGGGGTCTGCAGACCCTCCTCCACAGGGACAAACTTCATGTCTGTTGGGTAGCAGAGTCCTCATAGCCCAGAGGAGACACAGACTCCACCAGGCTTCTGCTGTTTCTCACTTTATACTTCAACACTTCAAATAGTTCCAGAAGGCCTTGTTTCCTAAAGTCCTGGGGATAAAGGTGGAGACATAAAGAAGGGTCTTCTTGTCTCAAGCAGGAGGAAGGTCATTGGGTCCCATGTGATCGGTGGGGAGGAAATCCATGAAGGGGAAGATGCCCAGCTCGGGTGGGGAGAAAAGAGCAGGAGCAGCACCTGCCTCTGTCTGTGTTGCTGACTCTAGGCCCCTGAGTTGTTCTGGTCCCTGTGGAAAAAAAATCCCACATGGGAGACAGAGTCAGGGAGTCCTCTCGTTTATGGGTTAGACTGGAGGGGGTCCTCAGACAGTCTAAATCAAAGTAGACTTGACTCAGGTTTGAAATGAACCCCAGTGACAAAATCACCTGTATCTGGAACTCGGTTTTCCCATCTATCAGAGCAGAATTTCATTCAGGATTTGAAAAAGCTCAGTCAGTTTAGAAATTTGATGCCAGAGAATCCCTGTGGGAGAAAGAGCATGAGTCCACTCTGAGCTTGTTTTGTCTCCCTGGGGGACCACTGTCATTACCTGGGTGTGGGAGGATGGCTGGGCTTCTGCTATGTTTCCATGACACCAGCTGGTCAGCTGCGTCAGTCATCCTATGATACACCTCCCACCAGAACTCCTGTCAGTGCCCCCTCCCCCTCCCAGAGTTCCCTGCACTGCCTGTGACTTCATTTGTCACATCATCAGGGTCTGTCTGTGATCTGTAGAGGTCTGTATTTTCATGCAGGCGTGCATCCAAAGACTTTACTTTTTCATTTATCTTTTTGCTACTTTCTTACCAATATTCCTATTACATTACAAGCTGAATGAACATTTAGAGGTTATGTTAAATTTGGAAATTCTCAAAACCAAAACCACCTGTGCTGTACACAGTCTATTATTTATGTTTTTGAAAAAAGACTGATAGGAAGTAGAAAGGAACGTGACATGGAAATTATGTTCCCGAGTCAGAGACACAAGGAGGCAGCTGAGGTGAAGCAGTGAAAACATACCTCCAGCCATCATTCCTTCATGTCCTGACATTCAGGACAAATTGAAGTCCCCTGTGGGCATCTTGGCTTTCCAAAGCAATGCAAGTCCATACCCCAGAGGTGTCACCTCAAGAAATTGAGTTGGTTACCATTAGTTTGAGAGACCCATTGAAGATTAGAAAAGAGACAACCTAAGCCATCCTATACCTTTTCTCTCATGTCCTATCAGTTGAAGGTTAATCTCACAGGAACTTTCTTCCAGGGCTGCGTTGGGGTCCGTGGGACCAGGTCCAAGCAGGTGAGTCTTCCACCAGACCTCCTCCTTCAGCACAATGATGCCCCTGTGTAGCTAGGAGACACACAGTGGGTTTGGGCTGATGGCAACTAGTGTAGCAGGGATCTTAGAGTGACAAGTGGGGAAACTAAGGAAATAAGGCTTCCCTGACCCTACAGATCTGATTCCTTTCTAGGAGTTCGCCCCAAACCCTCCATCTGGGCTGACCCAGGCCCCATCGTCAGCAAGGGGAGCCCTGTGACCATCTGGTGTCAGGGGTCTCTGCAGGCGGATGGCTACATTCTGTATAAAGAGAGGAGTTCTGATCCCTTGGACACAAGGATCCCACAGGCCTCCAGCAACAAGACCGGGTTCCTCATTCAGTCCATAAGCTCACAGAACACAGGGCTGTACCAGTGTGCATACAGCACTGGGGGCAGGCTGTCTGAGAGGAGTGAGCCCCTGCTCCTGGTGCTGACAGGTAAGGGGGAACCTGGGTCTGCTCCCCACTGAGGGCTCCTCAGAGAATGAAGGGAACAGAGTGTGTTTTTAGGGGGAACTAACCCCTCACAGTCTACTCCTGGGGAAGGTGGGGTGACAGTCCCCTTTAACTCAGATCCTCCTTCTCCCTCAGGAGAACACAGTGGACCCTCTCTCTCAGCCCAGCCAGGCCCTGTTGTGACTTCAGGAGGGAATGTGTCCCTCTTGTGCAGCTCACAGTCCACACTGGACACTGTCCACCTGCTGAAAGAGGGAGGAGCTGAACCACCCCAACACTGGAAATCAGAGCTGAGATCCTATGAGAGGAGGTGGCAGGCTGTCTTCCCTGTGGGCCCTGTGAACTCCTCCCATGGGGGGACCTACAGATGCTGTGGCTCCTCCAGCTCCACCCCCAATGTGTGGTCACAGCCCAGTGCCCCTCTGCACCTCGAGGTCACAGGTGAGGTGGCCCACACTTGGCTGCAATTCTTCCCTGGGCCCCAAATAACTGATCTAAATCTTGTACCTAGTAAAGCCCTGGGGGTTGTGGGGGTCAGTGACTCCAGTTTACTGGGGACAGAACCACAGGCAAGAGACTTAGGAACGGACAACTGAGAGCTCTCCCTGCAGCCCCAGTGGGTGGTGGGTGTGTGTGTCCCCTGGGTGACAATGACCTTCTCCTCAGGTGTGTACAGGGAGCCCTCCCTCTCAGCCCATCCAGGCCCCCTGCTGCTGCCTGGAGACAGCCTGACCCTCCAGTGTCACTCAGAGCCCGGGTTTGACAGATTCGCTCTGACCAAGGAGCAGGGGCCCACACACCTCCAGCGTTTCCATAAGCAGCACAGCCCCAACTTCTCCCTTGGCCCGGTGAACCTCACCCACAGGGGTCGGTACAGGTGCTACAGTGGACACAAACTCTCCTATGTGTGGTCGGCCCCCAGCGCCCCCCTGGACATCCTGATTGCAGGTGAGGAGCACTGCCCTGTCCCCTGTCCTGACTGTCTGCTCAGGGGTGTGTCCTGGGGTCACCATGGTGATGATGGGCTCTAGGCAAGGGTCCTGGAGCAGAGGCTGATGGGTCTGAGGTCTAGAAGAGAGAGTGAGGGGCATGGAGATATAAGATGCCCACTCAGAGGGATTGAGAGGAGTGGACAGGGGTCACAGACAGTGTCCCTGGGAAAAGACATGGTCCCTCAGCTCAGGGACAAGGGTATGTAGGGATGACCCTCTGCACATCACAGCCCTCCTCTCCCCAGGAAAGGACAGCAAACCCTCCCTCTCAGTCCAGCCCGGGCCCTCAGTGCCCTTGGGAGCGAATGTGACCCTGCAGTGTCGATCTGAGGACAGGGCTGACACCTTCCACCTGCACAGGGAGGGGTCCCTGGACCCTCCCCAGCAGCTTCGTCTGCAGGACACGGCTGCCCCCTCTCAGGCCAACTTCACCATCAGCCCTGTGACCTCTGGCCACCACGGGACCTACAGGTGCTACAGCTCACGCAGCTCCTCCCCCTTCCAGCTGTCACAGCCCAGTGACCCCCTGGAGCTCGTGGTCTCAGGTGAGGAGCCCCAGCCTCTCCCCTGTGCCCTCATGGTCAGTTCAGCACCCTGTCCCCCAGGGAACTTTGGGCTGGATACAGAGTGAGGTGGTCTCTGAATGAGGGTCAGCTTGAGGTACTCTCACCTCACAGAGGGTTGAACAGCCAGAACCACCTCATTGCTGCCTCAAATTCATCCTCACACCTGGGGCCCAGACAGCTTCTAGGAGCCCAGGGAGGCTGGAGAGACCTGAGGCTGAGCAAAAGAGGAAAGGCCAAGGACCCCTATCCAACCCCCCTTCCTCCCCAAGAGAACAACAGGCCAAGTCAAGCGTGGTGTATAGCCTCTAGAGGTCTTGCTCCCAGAGAGAACATCACCCTCAATGGCACAATTCTCTCCCAGAAAGGCTGGGGGTCAGACAGAGATTCTGGTGGGGATCATGGGACCCCCAAGGCTGTGAGGCAATCAGCTGATGGGTGGGTGGGGTCATGGCAGAGGGAGAGGCTTTGGTGCCATCCAAGGGTGGGGCAGCCAAGCTGAGGTGGGGTGAGGGCAGCCCCCACCACTTACCCCCATCCTGAGTTTCTAGAAGGCTCCAAAGATGGAGAATCCCCCAGGACAGACAGACCTGCAAATCAGTTAGTGAGAGTGTCTGTTGAAAGGTGGTGGGTGTGTCCATGGGGACAGAAACTGAGTCCTGTGCAAGTTCAGGTGCCTGTGGAGGCTCTGACTTGGACACACCCTTCCCCTCTCTGTGCCTCAGTGTCTGCAAGTGTAAAAGGAGAGAATCGTGACTCAGAGCTTAGATTTCCTTTCAGTTGTGGCTCTGACCTCCTGGGAGGGGACCTCAGAGGGAAGTCCCCCAAGACAGGATGTTATGGGAACTGTCCCTTCTGTAGCAGGGATGGTGGCACTGTACAGGGAGGGACAGGCAGGACAAGGTCTGGGACACATAAGTCCTTTCCCTCAGCTCAGGTGCTCAGCTCAGAGGAGGGAACAAGGGCTGGAGTCAGACCTGGTTCAGGTACCAGCTCTGCTGCTCCCACTGTGGGGCTGGGTGGCCCCTTCTCTTCTCTGAGTGTCAGGTTCATGTCTGTCCATCCCTGGTCCCCTCCTGCTCACAGGGCTGTGGTGATGTTAGGTGACACAAGGGGCCTCACAGACCTCAGGAGGACAGAACCCTCAGTCAAAGCCACCTTCCCAAAGGGGCATCGAGGGCGTGCAGAGTAGAGAAGATCCCGGGAGAGAAACAGAGCCCATTCCACACTCCTACCCCTCTGGTGTCCCTTCTGCACTGGGGGACAGGTCATAAGAAAGGGCCCTGAGCTTCAGGTGAGACAGGACAGGCCTCCTTCAGGTGACGAGCCCTGAACTCAGAGCTTGTGGCCACCTGGAGCATCAAGAGGACAGCACAGGGAACCCACATCCTGAGATCCAGTCCCAGCCCTGCCCCGGCCAGGCTGGGTGACCTGGGGCATGTGGCTAACCTCTCTGAGCTGCAGTGAACTGAGTGGAGTCAGCCATTTCTGGTGCACCAAGGCTGCGAGGTTAGAGGAGCTGAAGGACAGACCCCAGCACATGCCTCCCACACAGTAGGTGCTCATTAAATGGCATCTTGGCTCATTCATGACATCACTCCTACCCAAGGTCTCCAATTGTCCCTGAACATCCTGATTGGAGTCTCGGGGGCCCTTGTCCTGCTGCTCTCCCTCCTCCTCTTCCTTCTCCTTCGACACCGGTGTCAGTGCAAAAGCAGGATGTCAGGTGAGTAGGGGACGGGGTGACCTGGGTCACAGGAGAGAGGGACTCAGAGCACCTGGAACAGGAAAATCAAATAGATGGAGAAGGCACGTTGAACAATGGATTTCTCCAGAATCTCACATCAGAAATCTGGAAAGAATATACTTAATATCACTACATGTATCAAAGTTCAGGTAATCTTTCGTTGTCTTCAATGACCTGAAATATGAAATACACACACAAGCATGTGTCAGGGTTTCCTACTTTCCTCAGGAATCACTCAAGGAGGGGTCCCTGCCCTCCCAAGGCTGACACTGCCCCTCTTGACCGGCCCAGACAGAGGCTGACGCCCAAAAGCACCTCTCTGTCAGAGAAAGGGACAGCTACCCTGTGGGAGGGGGCACAGGGATTTCAGAAGCTGTTGGGGGAAGGCACAGCCTGGGAGAGTGTGGGAGCCAGAGGTGAGGACTGATATCCATGGCATGACCTGGCCCCTCACCTCAGCCCTGGGTTAGTGGCCTACCTGGGAGGAGGCTGGTCTGCAGCCCTGAGAACTCAGGGTCCCTGCCAGGGGACACACCCCATTCTGTCCCAGCAGGTGCTGCCCTGAAGGACCCACAGCCTGGGGAGGGCCTGGAGCTGGACCCTCAGGTGAGACCCCTGCTTCTGTCCAGGACACCCACCAAGGACCTTCCTGTTGCCCAGTTCACTCCAGTGGTCACTTCCACTGGGCAGGAGAGTGTGTGGTCTGGGCAGGGAACAGACAAAACAGCAGGTGCAAAGGTCCAGAGGCAGGACCTGCTGCTTCAGCCAGATGGCCCTGTAGCAAGAGCTGAATGAGCAACACAGACTGCGTTCAGTTAAGAGTCAGAACCGTAGAAACTTCCAGATGCCCCAAGGCTGAGGAAGTGCCTGCAGATTCTATCCTGAGAGTGACTTAGTCTGATTTCAAGTTTAAACCACCAATCTGGCTACATGTGGAGAACTGACTGGAATCAAAGAGACACGGGTTCTGTCTCACTGTCTCTCTGCAGCACAATGGGCCCGATGACAGTTCCAAACAAGTGACCTACGCCCAGGTGAACTGCAGATCAAGACTCAGGCAGGGAGTGGCCACTTCTCCTTCCCCCCTGTCAGAGGAATTGCTGGACAAGAAGGGCAGACAAGCAGAAGAGGACAGACAGATGGACAGTCAGGTGGGTCCCGTCCTCTCCAGGCCCCAGGCTTCCCCAACCCCAACCACCTTTCACCCCTCTCACTGTCCCCCTGCTCCAGGCTGCTGCAGCTGAAGACCCCAAGGATGTGACCTATGCCCAGCTGACCCTCATGACCTCCAGGCGGGAGACAAGTGCACCCCCTTGCTCCCCATCAGAGCAGCCCTCAGATGAGCCCAGTGTCTATGCTACTCTGGCTGTCCACTAGCTCTGGAAGGACCTGGATCCCACACTCCAGATGGGTGCCTGCAGAGACCCCCTAAGGACACTCAGCAGGGCTCCATCCAGACTGGTGACCTGACATGTACCCCCAGCAGCTTCTGGGACCCTCCAGGAGTCCCCTGATTCTGCAATCACAGATAAGTACTATCCATACACTTTGGAACCAAAGCAACAGACTTCTCAAGAATCAATGTGTGTGTCCTGGCTGGTGCGGTTCAGTAGATTGAGGGGTGGCCTGTGAACCAAAGGATTACCAGTTCGATTCCTAGTCATGGCACATGCCCGGGTTGTGGGCCAGGTCCCCAGTAAGGGGTGTGTAAGAGGCAATCATACATTGATGTTTCTCTCCCTCTCTTTCTTCTTCTCTTCCACTCTTTCAAAAAATAAATAAAATATATTTTTAATTTTAAAAATGGGATGCATGAATACATACTGAATAAATATCCCAAGCATGCAGGTATCTGATTTCAGGAAAGAATGGATGGTTTTAGAGTCAAAGACTCATTCAGTGAAATTCAACATTAAATGAGATCTAGGAACAGGAAATGTGAGCTGTGTTCCTATGGAGACGCCTCCTCCATCCCACTGTGGGGCTGTCCCTCCTCATCCTCACTGACTCCCCTTGACTGTCACCCCTGTGACATGAGGGGCCGCCCCACATGGCTGGTTTGGGTTCACATATACACACCCCTTCATGCTGCATCCCACTCATAGAAACAAACGTGGTGTCTTCATAACCCGGGAGGGCTTTTTAAGCCAAAGAAACAAAGTACCAACACCTGCTATCTGGTGGGTGAATGTCTACATTCTGCAGCGAAGTGACAGAAGCCACACAGAAAAGATCACGTTTTCTGTGACTGCGTTTGTGTGAAGTGTCCAGGAGGAGGAAACCCACAGAGACATGAGTCAGGTGGGCCTCTCGGGGGCTGAGGAGGAGGAGAGATGGGAGACTGAAGGCTTCGTGGTATTTGGGGAAAGGGTTATACAAATTTGAAATTACATAAAAGTTGTAGTTGACATTGTGTATTTATTAGAGTCTAATGAATTCTAGGTATTAAAAGAATCAATTCTATGTTACATGCATTTACATCATTAATAAGAAATGCAGGACTTCCGCCAAGATGGAGGCATAGATGGAGATGCCGTGCTTTCTCACACAACCAAGTTTAGAGACAACAAAATATTAGCAACAGAAAATACAGCCAGAACATAGAATATTGAACTTTTCGGAAGTCTGATAACAATGAATGCTTCAGCCTGACCGGTAAGAGGGGTGAAACCAGCAGCTGGCAGAGCAGGGTTGCACAGGAAAACTCGGTCAGATGGACTCAGGCACTCAGATCCCAGGCGTGGGGTTGCAAAGGGTGGACCCAGTGAGCGACCAGTGGATCCGGCGAGGGTGAAGGGTGGCGGGTTGACTGTGCTGGCGCATTCCTGCACAGATAGACCAGGCAGGGAGTGGGCAGTGAGATGGGACTGAGCAGGTCCCAGTGACGGGAGGCAGCAGAGGGGGCCGCCATTTCCCCACTCTGACCCTGCCCCCACATACAGCATCACAACCCAGCAACCCCGCCCTGGAGGCCCCGCCCTGCCCCTAAGGCTTCGTTCCTCATACTTAAGGGACACAAACAGACCAAAAATGGCTCAAGAAGATCTCAAAGCCCCAGAGCCCATAAATCTAAGTGACGAAGAAATAGCAAAACTTTCAGATGCACAGTTCAAAACAGTGGTGATCAGGATGCTCACAGAACTGGTTGATCTTAGTCGCAAATTAGAGGAACATATGAAGGCTATACTAATCGAAATGAATGGCAATGCACAGGAAACCAATAGTAATGGAAAGGAAACTGGGACTCAAATCAATGGAGTGGACCAGAAGGAGGATAAAAATGACCAACCAGAAAAGAATGAAGAAACAAGAATTCAAAAAAATGAGGAGAGACTTAGGAACCTCCAGGACATCTTTAAATGCTCCAACATCCAAATTATAGGGGTACCAGAAGGGGGAAAGGAACAGCCACCAGTGGAAAACTTATTTGAACAAATAATAAAGGAGAATTTCCCCAATTTGGAAAAGGCAATAGACTTCCAGGAAATCCAGGAAGCTCAGAGAGTACCAAAGAAGTTGGACCCAAGAAGGAAAATACCAAGACACATCATCATTACATTAGCCAAGATTAAAATGAAAGAGAGATTCCTAGAAGCAGCAAGAGCTAAGGGGACAGTCACCTACAAAAGAGTTCCCATCAGATTGTCAGCGTATTTCTCAAAAGAGACCTTACAGGCAAGAAGGGGCTGGAAAGAGGTATTCCAAGTCATGAAATCCAAAGACCTACATCCAAGATTGCTCTATCCAGCAAAGCTTTCATTTAGAATGGAAGGACAGATAAAGTGCTTCTCAGATAAGATCAAATTCAAGGAGTTCATCATCACCAAGCCCTTATATGAAATGTTAAAGGGACTTATCTAAGAAAAAAGATAAAAAATATGAACAGTGAAAGGACAGCAAACTCACAGTTATTAACAACCACATCTAAAACAAAAGCAAGCTAAAAGGACAGCTAGATCAGGAGCAGAACCATAGAAATGAAAATCTCATGGAGGGTTAGCAACAGGGGAGTGGGAGGAGGAGAAGTGGGGAGAAGGTACAGAGAATAAGTAGCTTAGATGGTAGGTAGAAAATAGATAGGAGGAGGGCAAGAATAGTATGGGAAATACAGAACCCAAAGAACTTGAGACACATGGTCATAAACTAAATGGGGGGAATGGTTGGGGTGGAGGTGCAGGGTGGAGGGGAATGAAGGGGGGTAAATAGAACATCTGTAATGGCATAATCAATAAAATAAAATTAAATAAAAAGAAGTAAAAAAAAATGCAAGTCAATGGCCATGGTTCCCTGGGGATCCTTTTGTCCTTAGAAGTGGCCCCAGGTCCCGGGGCAGTTTCACAGGAGGTGGGACTCCCACCAGGTCCGAGATGCCCTCAGTGCCCAGTGCTCAGGCTCAGTCCCTGGCGGGATTCCGACTCTCACTCCTGAGTGTGTCACTCTTTGCTGTGAGTGTCTTGTTTCTCTCTGGAGCTGTTACTAAATGTCATGGTCACTTCTTTCCTTATGACACCAGAGATATGACATTGGCCCTCCTCACTCTAGTCCCCAAGTACCTTCAGTCCTCACACCTGGTGTCCCTGTGCTGCATTCTGGAAATTTCCTCAACATTGCACTCCACTGTCACAACTGGCCCTTCAACTCTGTCTCATCCTTGATGGGAAGAATTGTTTTAGTCTCTGCATTCTATTGGGTTGTTCATCTCACAGATTTCTAACTCTAAACAGTCCTCTGTAAAACAATTCACATTTCTGGATCAAAAATTGATTCCTCCCTTTCATTTTTTAGATATGTACACACAATTATCTTAAATTGCGCTCATATTTACCACTGACTCTCTTTCATTGCCTGTGACAGTCCCCAGTGTCAGTAAAGGGCATCCATAGTATTGCCTGTCATCATTAGGATTTCTCCACTGCCCACTCTTGTAGAAGTCTCTCCCCTCACACACCTGGTCTCCCTCAGATTCTCCAGGGCTGTCCTGGGAGTCAGGCTGACCAGGGGCTGTGGCAGCTGCCCCTGCCCCATGCAGTCCACTCTCTCAGGCTCAGCATCTGCTCAGTGTTCTGCCCACCAGGGCTGGTCCATGGGAACCTCACACACACACATGAGACAGACACCCATGGGTGACATACTGGACTCAGTCTGTTTCAGGACACACAGGGCAGACTGCTCACTGCTGACCATGAACTTCGGTGAATGGGCAGAGACATCTCAGACCATGCACAGAACCATGGGGCAGGGGCCACACTTCCAGCCTTCACCTGCTCCCTGACCCCCTTCCTGTGAGGTCCTGGAGTCCCTTTCTTTTTACTCAGGGGGAGGGAATCATGTCCCTATGACCCAGGGATAGTCCAGAGCAGTACGGCCATTCAGTTTCAGTCTCTGTTCTTCAAGGTCATTCCTTCTCCATTTGGGAACTTTCATTTCTCTTTCCGTGTCTGACCTACATACTTCAGAGCTGTTTTGAGTAGCTATGCTTGGTATTCAGAGCAGACATGGTTTCAAGGGGATGAAACAATCCTGCCCTTGACCCTGGACACCTTGACCCTCTCATGTCCCAGCCCCTCACGTCTTCATCTGGTCTGGAATTGGAAGCCTCCCTCCCATGAACCAGCACCACTGACCCACAGCCACTGTGGGGACTGGGCTTTGTGATAACATCATCCGCATGAGGAAACTGAGACTCAGAGATACGCCATTAGCACAAAGATCACTTGGGCAATGGTTGGATAGTTATTTAAATAAGTGTCTGCTGTAAGTAGAAATTAGGACTGGAATCCAAATCAATGTCCCCTGAAGCTTGAAGGCAGGACCACAGCATGAGGAGGAGGTTTGAACCAGAAAACAAGGGCACTGAGTGGGCAGGGATCATTCAGAGGCTTGACCCCAAAAGATGGATGGACGCTGTTGCTAAGAAAAAATGAGAAGTCGGTGGGGGTGGCTGGGACAGAAAGAAAACCACACTCTGGGCCAGAAAAAGGAACATGTTCCCTTCCCCCTTTTCCCTGCATTTCCCCTTCGTGCTCATTGTCACAGTGGCACTCGCCTGCACTGCACAGTGAGGAGGGGACTGTGTCTCTTCTGAGCTGAGCTCTGCAGGCACAGGGACCCCCGTCACCCTGATGCATCTCCAGACCTGGGTGACCATTGTCCATGGGGAGACCCACAGGGAGGGGTTGATAGTTGGGCTCGGGGGGGAAGGGGACCTTCTAGGACCTCATGGAGGAGGACCTGGAAGGCCATGCCGTAGGTCACTTCACCTGCAAGGGGCATCTCAGGAGGCTGTGGGTCTATTTCTTCCTCCATCATGAGAACAAGGGCCGGACTTCTGGGGAGATACTGTTCCCCTTCCTGAGGGGCTGGTGACGTGACAGCCTTGTGACAGGGATGGCCAGCCTCCCGGTGACCATACCCTGTGAGTCTCTCCACCCTGAGGACTCCTTGGTCTCTTCCTCCTTCTGCGCAGCTGGGTTCAGAGAGGAGACGCCATGCCCCCCACCCTCATGGCCCTGCTCTGTCTGGGTGAGATGTGAGGGGGGAGGGGATACCCTGCTCTGTGAGGACCCCAGGGCTCAGGAGGCTCCCGTGGAGGAGGGTTCTGCTCAGGACTCAGGGCAAATCTCTCACAGGGACTCTCTTGCAGGGCTGAGCGTGGGCCCGAGGACCACAGTGCTGGCAGGTGAGTCTTTCCTCAGGAGTTCCATGTCTCTCTCTGCATAAAGAACAAGGGGCCTCCCCATCTGACAGCTGTGGGTGGAAAAAAGAAATTCAGGATTAATGGATGGGGGATGTCAGGGAAAGCCCTGGGGCTGCAATCTGGGGACTGGGGTAGATATCTCTTGTGACTCAATCTCTGATTCCTTCCAGGGACCCTCCCCAAACCCACCCTTTGGGCTGAGCCAGGCCCTGTGATGTCCTGGGGGAGCTTTGTGACCATCTGGTGTCAGGGGGTGCAGCAGGCCCAGGAGTTCCGTCTGCATAAAGAGGGAAGTCCAACACCCTGGGACAAACCAAAGCCACTGGATCCCAGGAACAAGGCCAAGTTCTCCATCACACAGATGACACAGTCACATGCAGGGAGATATCTGTGTTACTATCTCAGCCAAGGTGTCTGGTCAGAGCACAGTGACCCCCTGGAGCTGGTGGTGACAGGTGAGTGGACACTCAGGGATCCCAGCCTCAGGCTCTTCTGAAGGGGGATACCCTCAAGGGGTCTTCCCCTCACAGCCCAGCCCTGAGGGACATGAAGGAGGTGTGACCCCATTTAACACACGCTGCCTCCTTCTCTCCTAGGAGTCTACTACTACAAACCGAGTCTCTCAGCCCTACCCAGCCCTGTTGTGACGTCAGGAGGGACTGTGACCCTCCAGTGTAGCTCACAGCATGGATTTGACAGGTTCATTCTGACCAAGGAAGGAGAAGACAGGGTCTCCTGGACACTGGACTCACAGCAACACCTCAGTGGGCAGTTCCAGGCCCTGTTCCCTGTGGGCCCTGTGACCCACAGCCACAGGTGGACATTCAGATGCTATGGCTGTTACAAGGACAGACCCCATGTGTGGTCACAGCCCAGTGACCCCATGGAGCTCGTGATCCCAGGCAAGTCACATCCTGGTCCCATCCATGTATTGAGGCAGCAGATAGGTAACTGTGGTCTTTGCAGGGAGGGGAGCCCCATGGGAGAGGTGGGATGAGTGGAGCAGGGGCTCCTGGGACAGAGACACAGAGAGAGACAAGGGGACCTGGGGGCCTGGGGGCCAGGCCAGGAGGAGGGTTCATGGGAGGAGCAGCCCTGTCACTCCTGTCTGGTCCCTGCAGGTGGCTCAAGGAAGCCCTCCCTCCTGACCCAGCAGGGCCCCATCGTGTCCTATGGACAGAGTCTGACCCTCCAGTGTCTCTCTGACATCAGCTGTGACAGATTTGCTCTGTTCAAGGAAGGGGCACAGGGCCTCCTCCAGATCACTGCCCTGCAGCCCCAGGCTGGGCTCTCTCAGGCCAACTTTTCCCTGGACACTGTGAGCAGCTCCCATGGGGGCCAGTACAGGTGCTACGGTGGACACAGCCTCTCCTCTGAGTGGTCAGCCCCCAGTGACCCGCTGGACATCCTGGTGGCAGGTGAGGAGCCAGTGGGTTAGGTCAGGGACCCAGAGTCTTGCTCAGGCCCTGCTGGGGGGTCTGAGATGGTGATGGCCAGGACAAAGGGGTGTGGGGTCCCCAGGGAGAGAGAGAGAAATAGATGATGGGATGGGAGGGGGAGACTCAGAGAAAACAGAGACAGACAGAGAGGAGAGTCCCAGAAAGGGGCCTGGTGACTTTCAGGTCAGGACACGGTGGGCAGCAGCCCCTCACCTGCCCCCCTCTCTCTAGGATGGCTCCCTGACAGACCCTCCCTCTCGGTGCAGCCTGGCCCTGTCGTGGCCTCAGGAGAAAACGTGACCCTGCGGTGTCAGTCATGGAGCTGGAGGGACACTTTCTTTCTGACCAAGGAGGGAGAAGGCGGTCCCCCACTGCGTCTCAGATCACAGTCCAGAGCTCAGCAGCACCAGGCAGAGTTCTCCATGGGTCCTGTGACCTTGGCCCACAAGGGGACCTACAGGTGCTACAGCACAAAGCACGATAGTCCCTACCTGCTGTCACAGCCCAGTGCCCCCCTGGAGCTCCTGGTGTCAGGTGAGGCCCCTGCCCCTGTCTTTCTGAGCTGTTAGCTCAGGTCTTGGTCCCCAGAGGAACTACGGGCTGAAAGGGGATGGCGTGGGCTCTAAGGACGGCCGCCCAGCAGAGATCTGCCCCTCGGAGGCCCTGCTACACCTGTCCATCCAAACTCCCACCTGGTCCAGAAGGCGCCAGGTGGTCAGTGAAGGGGTCTTAGAAGCCACAGCACAGAGGCAGGAGGAGTCTGGTGAGGTGGGACCCCAGGGTGAGCCCACACCCTCACCCCCTTCTCTGTTCCTTCCCAGGACCCTCTGGAAATCCCAGCCCCCTACCCACAGGGCCCACCTCCACCAGTGGTGAGTCACTGGGCCCCCTTCACTCAGAGGGGGACACAGACCAGCCCAGGGCACTTCTCTGTCTCTCAGAGGATCTCATGTCCCCATAGATACTCAAGGACAGGGTTCTGTCCCAGAGGGGGAGTCAGGGAGAGATTTCAGGGGACACATGGCCCTTCAGGCACTCTGAGGACACACCCCTCCCCCACCACAGTGTCAGGTCTGTACAGGGCTGAGTGAGGCCAGTGACGGTTGGGGTGGTCATGAATGAGGTACATGTTGGGGCTCCTCTGGGGGAGGAGCCATGCTCAGTGGGGGAAGGCAGCACCCACCCCTCACCCCCATCCTGAATTTCTAAACATCTCTGAGGATCTGCCCCTTGGCCACATGGAGTCAGGCCCACAGACCAGTAAGTGAGGGTCTCTGTGGGGAGGTGGTGGGTGTGTCCATGGGGGACAGGGGCTGAGTCCTGTGCAAGTTCAGGCACCTCTGGAGGCTCTGACTTGGACACGCCCTTCCCCTCCCTGTGCCTCAGTGTCTCCAAGTGTAAAAGGAGAGAATCATGGCCCACAGCTTAGATTTCCTTTCAGTTCTGGCTCTGACCTCCTGGGAGGGGGTCCTCTCAGGGAAGTCCCCCTGGGATGTGACGTTATGGGAAGTGTCCCTCAACTGACATCAGGGGTCACAGAGCTCAGGAGGGCAGAGCCCCAGCCCAGCCCAACCATTTGAAGGGGGCATCAGGGTTCACCACACACTCCTGCCCCTCCTGTGTCCCTGCTGTGCTGGGGGACAGGTACTAAAGAAGGACCCTCAGCTCCAGGTGAGACAGGACAGGCCCCTGCACATGAGGAGCCCAGAGATTGGAGCTGGTGTCCACCTGGGGCAGCAGGAGGACAGCACAGGCAGCACAAGTTCCCATGTAAAGTCCCAGCCCTGCCTCGGCCAGGCTGGGTGACCCGGGGCAAGTGCTACCCACTCTGAGCTGCAGTGGACTGGTCAGTGGGTCAGCCATCCAGGTGCATGAGGGCTGTGAGGTTAGAAGAGCTGAGAGGCAGATTCTAGCACCTGCCTCACACACAGTAGGTGCTCATTAAATGGCACCTTTGGCTCATTCATGATGTCACTCCATCCCAAGGTCTCCAATGGTACTGGAATGTGCTGATCGGGGTCTTGGTGGCCCTCGTCCTACTGGTCTCCCTCCTCCTCTTCCTGTTCCTCTTCCTCCGACACAGGTGTCAGAGCAAAGGAAGGACTTCAGGTGAGCAGGGGACAGGGTGACCTGGGTCACAGGAGAGAGGGGCTCAGAGCACCTGATGCAGGAAAATCAAATAGATGGGGAAGGTCAGCTGAGAAACAGATTTCTCCAGAATCTCACATTGGAAAATCTAGAAAGAAAACACTCAACATCAGCATCCACATAGAAATGTAAAGTTGTCTTCCACCATTTTCAATCTCCTGAAACATGAAACATACCCACAAGCGTGTGCAGGTTTCCTTCTTTCCTCTGGAATCACACAGGGAGGGGGAAGAGGGGTGGTCCCGACCCTGCCAAGGCCGAGAATGTCCCTCTTGACCAGCCCAGAAGAAGGCTGATATCTGACCTCCTGCAGGGGCCACGGACCCGGAGCCCAAGGACAGAGGCCTGCAGACCAGGTAATTTCTGCCCCAAAGGCCCCAACCCCCACCCAAGGCCCCACTCTGCCCCTTACTCCCTGTCTCCTCCCCCAGATCCAGCCCAGCTGCAGATGCCCAGGAAGAGCCCCTCTGTGAGAGGAAGGAACAGCTGCCCTGGGAGAGGGGGACGCAGGGATTTCAGGAAGCGATTAGGGGAGGGGACAGCCTGGGAGGCTGTGGGGGTCAGGGGTGAGAGGGACTGAAATCCATACAGCCTGACCTGGCCCCTCACCTCATCATCTCTGGGTTAGTGACCCATCTGGGAGGGCGAGGGTCTGCAGCCCTGAGATCTCAGGGACCCTGACAGGAGACACTTTTTGTTCTTCCCCCGCAGATGCTGCCATGAAGGACCCTAATCCTGGGGAGGACATGGAGCTGGACCCTCAGGTGAGACCCCTGCTCCTGTCCAAGCCACCAAGGACCTTCCTGTTCCCCAGTTTACTCCAGTGGTCACCCCCTTGTCCTCACCTCCCCAGGTTCTCGGCAGCGTCCATATTGACCTGTCCTTCTGGGCACCAGGCTGTCCTGCTCTGACTCACCTCTCCCACTTTCCTGTGACCTCAAAGCTCTTCCCTCCTGGGTGGTCCTCTCTGCTAGTTCCCTGCTCTCTATATGAATTGTGGAGCCCCAGGTCTCAGAAGGAGACATGAATGAGTGAACACCCACAGGTCTCAGGGTCCCGTCACTCACTCATGCAGCAGCTGTGACAAGAGCTCACTGGTTACTGGCTCCATGTTGGTGCTGCGGTGCCACCCTGAGCAGCCTGTCCCCACACTGCTCAAGCTCGCCTGTGGGTGAGGGAGACACCTGCAAACAGGCAGATGGAATCCTCAAGAACCAAGTGCTGTGAAGGAGAATGAAGCAAGCACAGGGGGGTGGAGTGAGTGGTGAGGAGGGAGAACAGCAGGCGCAAAGGTTGAGGCAGGACCTGCTGCTTCAGCCAGATGGGCCCTGTGGCTGGAAGTGAATGAGCAAGAGACAGGGCATGAGGTTAAGAGTCAGATCTGCAGAAGCACCAGGAGCCCCAAGGCTCAGGGAGTCCCTGCAGACTCCATCAGGAGAGTGACCTCATCTGATCTGAAGTTTAGTTGTCACTCTGACACCATGTGGACACGTGACTGGAGGGTTTCAACCGTGGGGTCAAGGACATGCTGGTTTTGTCTCACTGTCTCTCTACAGCAGAACAGGACCTGTGACAACTTCCAAGGAATGACCTATGCCCAGGTGACCATCTCAACATCAAGGCAGATGCAGGGAATGGCCCCTTCCCTTTCCCCCCTGTCAGAGGAATTGCTGGACAGGAAGGGCAGACAAGCAGAAGAGGACAGACAGACAGATGGACAGTCAGGTGGGTCCCGTCCTCTCCAGGCCCCAGGCTTCCCCAACCCCAACCACCTTTCACCCCTCTCACTGTCCCCCTGCTCCAGGCTGCTGCATCTGCTGCCCCCCAGGATGTGACCTATGCCCAGGTGAGCCTCAGAAGGGAGACAAGTGCACCCCGTTCCTCCTCATCAGAGCAGCCCCCAGATGAGCCCAGTGTCTACGCTGCTCTGGCCGTCCACTAGTCCAGGAAGGACCCAGACCCCACACTCCAGGGAGGAGACCTGTATGGACCCCAGAAGGTACAAAAGCTGCCCCCAAAAACATTTACTAGTGGCCCCAGCCAGCCTGGAGACCTGATGTGGGCCCCCAGTACCTCCTGGGTGTCTCTGGGAGTCCCCTGTTTGTATAGTCACAGATAACCAATATTCCTGCATTACAGAATCAAAGAAATAGACGTCTCAAAAATGTATGTGTAAATTTAAAATCAAAACAGAAGTGGGATGACATACAGAGATCATGTACCATGGAAACGTACACTTGTAAAACCTGTAACAGCACTGGCTGGTGTGGCTCAGTGGATTGAGTGCTGGCCTATAGAGCAGAAGGTTGCTGGTTCGATTCCCAGTCAGGGCACATGCCTGGGTTGTGGGCTAGGTCCCTAGTTGGGGGCATGTAAGTGGCAACCACATATTGAAGTTTCTCTCCCTCTCTTTCTCCCTCCCTTCCCCTCTCTCTAAGAATAAATAAGATCTTTTTAAAAAGAGAAAAAAGCCTATAACCATCTTATTAATCATTGTCAGCCTAATGAATTTAACTTTTAAACATTTAAAGATCTCTAAAAAACAAAGAAAAATATCCAAAGTGATATTGATTTAAAATATTCAATATTTTAAATGAATGATCATTGAAGTGTTACATAGCAGACCTATGAAATGCAAAACTAGGGACCATGAATGACTATATTAGAAAAGAAAGAGGTAAATACATAGAAACAACCTCGAGTGTCCTCCCGTGGATGACTGGATAAAGGTGTGGAAATACACACAATGGAATATTACTCAGCCGAGAAAGATGAACTATTACCATTTGCAATGACTTGGATGGAACTGGAGGGCATCACGCTAAGTGAAATAAGACACAAAAGGACAAGAAACATAGGATGTCACTCTTATGAAGGTGAAATCTGAAACTCTGAACAGTCATACATATTAACTATATTGAATCTGTGAGGAAAGTTTATCCTGCAAAGTGAACTTGGAGACCAGAAAGCTTCACTGCTAATGCTTCTAAATACTTGTGCATGCATGAAATACACATGCCCACAATATACACGTGGACATGCATGCAAACACACACACATACACAGATGCACACACATGGACACACACAGACATACAGTAAGCAATAAATAAAAAAGAAAACAAACTTGTAGATTCGGAAATGAAAAAATGGTTACCAGAGAGAAGGGTGTGAGGGGAGGACAAACTGAAGAGGGGTAAAGCGGGTCATAGAAGGAGACTAGACTTTGGGTGATGAGCACAGAGCGAGTATATAGATGGTGTATATAAGATTGTACACTTGTAATTTATATAATGGATTAGCCAATGTCACCTCAATCTATGTGATTCTTTTTTACAGCTGCATAGTATTCCATTGTGTACATATACCACAGCTCTGTCATCCACTCATCTGCTAAAGGGCACTTGGGCTGTTGCCAGGTCTTCACCATTGCAAATAATGCTGCTATGAACATATGGGTGTATATATTCTTTCTGACTGGTGTTTCAGGATTCTTAGGATCTACTCTCAGAAGTGGGATCAGGGAAGTTAAGGGAAAAAGGGGGAGGGATTTGGAGGAACAAATAGGAAGGACACAGGGATGAGAACGAAGGGGGGTGGAAATGGGAGGGAGGTGGGGAGCAAGGGGCGGGGAGGCTGGGATGGGAGAAATAGACAAAAACTGTACTTGAAAAATAACTAAATAAAAGTAATAAAAAAATTTAAAAAAAAGAAAAAAAAGAAGTGGGATCAGTGTGTCAAAAGGCAGGTCCACTTTTAATTTTTGGATGAAACTCCATACTGTTTTCCACAGTGGCTGCATCAGTCTGCATTCCCCACGAACAGTGCACTAGGGTTCCCTTTTCTCCACTTTCTTGCCAATATTTGTTTTTTTGTTGATTTATTGATGGTAGCATTTCTGAAAGGCAGGAGGTGATATTTCATATGCATCTCTGGTTATTAGGTGAATATTTTTTCATATGTCTATTGGCCATCTATATGTCCTTGGGTCCTTTGCCCATTTTTTAATTGGAATGTTTATCTTACTGGTGTTGGGTTGCGTAAGTTCTTTACGTATTTTGGAAATTAACCTCTTATCAGATGTATCACTGACACACATGTTGTCCCCTCAGATCTGGTAACAGGCTCTGGCTGGGTAGCTCACTTGGGTAGAGCATCATCCTGATATGTGAAGGTTGTCAGTTCAGTCCCCCATCAAGGCACATACAAGGATCAACCAATGCAAAGTAAAACAAATCAATCTTTCTCTCTCCCCCCTCTGTCTCCCCCACCCTCCCTCTCTCTCATATTAATAAATAACTTTTGAAAAAAGATCTGGAAACAGCCCAAATGCCCATCAGTAGATAAGTAGATTAAAAAATGTGGTACATTTATACAAAGGAATACTACATGTTTGTAAAAATAAAAAAAAAAAAAAGGACCTGCAAAACTTTTGCGAAAAAAAAGGACCTTAAAACTTTTGCAACAGTGTGGATGGACCTGGAGATTACTGCACTAAGCAAAATAAGCCAGTCAGAGAAGGACAAATCCCATATGATCTCACTCATCTGTGGACTCTAATGAAGCAAATACACTGATGGACAAAATAGAACCAGAGGCAGAGATACATTTAAGAGACTGACAGATGCCAGAGGGAGGGAGTATGGGGCATGGGATGAAAGCAGGTGAAGGGATCAGCCAAAGAACACACAGGTTGACCCACAGACACAGACAGCAGTGTGGTGATGGCGAGAGGAAAGGGAGGGCAGGGGGTGGCAGAGGTGGGCCAACTGGGGGAAAATGGGGGGCATCTGTAATAGTGTCAACAGTAAAAACATAAAAAATAAGAAAATAAAAACCTCATCTCATTTTAAAAAAGAGAAAGCCTTTTAAAAATCAATGACCTAAGTTACTATATATCAAAAGTTTAGTGAAAGGCCCTTGCTGGTGTGGCTCTGTGGACTGAGCACCGGCCTGTGAACCAAAGGGTCGCCAATTCCATTCCCAGTCAGGGCACATGCCTGGGTTGTGGGCCAGGTCCCCAGTAGGGGGTGTGTGAAAGGCAACCACACACTGATGTTGCTCTCTCTCTCTTTCTCCCTCCCTTGCCTTCTCTCGAAAAATAAATAAATAAAATCTAAAAAATGGAAAAGAAAGCCTCAGTAAAGACATAGAAGACATAAAGAAAAACACAATGAAAATTTTAAATTTGAAAACTAAAATAATCAAAAGGTTTCGTAGATGCATGGGCTCAACAGCAGAGTAGAAAAGACAAAAAACGCAACCCATAATGAACATGAAAAAAAGAACAACAGAAATTCCTCAGTCTGAACAACAGGGAGTAAATAAACTGGGAACAACTATGAGCAGAGGCTCAAGAACCTGTCGGAGTGTCACAAAAGCTCCAACGTCCACATCATGAGTCCTAGAAGCAGAGGACAAGACTGGAAAACTACTCAAGAAATAATGACTGAAATTTCCCCAAACTTGGCAATAGTCATAAGGCTACGTATTCATGAAACTCGATGACTTCAAAATAGGATAAACTTGAAGAAATCCACACCAAGATGCATCATAACTCAACTAGAAAAACAAAAGACAAAGAAGTTCCCTGAATGCATGAAGCAGAAATGCCACCTCACCCATAGAGAGAAAACCCACTCAGATGACAACAAGATTCTCGCTGGAAACCGTGAAGACAGGAGAGAAGTAGCATATCTTTCAAGTGCTGAGCAAAGAAAAAACTGCCAATCCCGAATTCTATCACTGGGGAAATTATCCTTCAGGAATGATGGGGAAACAAAACACTCTGAGGTGAAAAATTAGTAAGAGGGTTTATCACAAGTAGACCTCCCATAAATGAACAGCCACAGGAAGTCCTTGCCCCAGGAAGATAATGATAAAAGAGGAATCTTGGAACATCCACAAGGAAGAGGGGAGATTGGGAAGAGTGACTAGGTGGACCCCAGCACAGTGCAGAGGACAGGACGTCCCAACTGCCCAGGAGCACTCAGTTCACATCTCCTTCAAATCTGGGGGGCAACAAAAACAAACATACACCCATTATCATCCAACGATGTTTGCGACTTTCTTGTTAATCTACCCACATCTTTTTTTTATGATTTTATTTTTAATTTTTTAATTTTTTAATTGATTATGCTGTTACAGTTGTTCTATTCCCCCCCTTCATTCCCCTCCACCCTAACCCCCCATCCCCACCATTGCCCCACCTTTGGTTTATGACCATGTGTCTCAAGTCCTTTAGATTCTATATTTCCCATGCTATTCTTGCCCCCATCATCTATTTTCTATCTACTGTCTATGCTACTTATTTTCTGTACCTTCTCCCCCCTTCTCCTCCTCCCACTCCCCTGTTGCTAACCCTCCTTGAGATCTTCATTTCTATGTTTCCACTCCTGATCCAGCTGTCCTTTTAGTTTGCTTTTGTTTTAGGTGTGGTTGTTAATAACTGTGAGTTTGTTGTTCTTTCACTCTTCATGTTTCTTTAACTTCTTTTTCTTAGATAAGTCCCTTTAACATTTCATATAATAAGGGCTTGGTGATGATGAACTCCTTGAATTTGATGTTATCTGAGAAGCACTTTATCTGTCCTTCCATTCTAAATGAAAGTTTTGCTGGATAGAGTAATCTTGGTTGTAGGTCTTTGGATTTCATGACTTGGAATACCTCTTTCCAGCCCCTTCTTGCCTGGAAGGTCTCTTTTGAGAAATCTGCTGACAGTCTGATGGGGACTCCTTTGTAGGTGACTGTCCCCTTAGCTCTTGCTGCTTCTAGGATTCCCTCCTTCATTTTAATTTTGGCTAATGTAATTATGATGTGCCTTGGTGTGTTTCTTCTTGGGTCCAACTTATTTGGTACTCTCTGAGCTTCCTGGATTTCCTGGAAGTCTATTTCCTTTGCCAGATTGGGGAAATTCTTCTTTATTATTTGTTCAAATAAGTTTTCCACTGGTGGCTGTGCCTTTCCCCCTTCTGGTACCCCTATAATTTGGATGTTGGAATGTTTAAAGATGTCCTGGAGGTTCCTAAGACTCTCCTCGTTTCTTTGAATTCTTGCTTCTTGACTCTTTTCTGTTTGGCCATTATTTACTTTCTTCTGGTCCACTCCATTGATTTGAGTCCCAGTTTCCTTTTCATTGCTATTGGTGTCCTGTGCAATTCCATTCATTTCAATTAGTTTTGCCTTCATATATTTGTCTAATTTGTGGCTATAATCAACCAGTTCTGTGAGGATCCTGATCACCAATGTTTTAAACTGTGTGCCTGAGAGTTTTGCTATTTGTTCATCGCTTAGATTTATAGGCTCTGGGGCTTTGAGATCTTCTTGAGCCATTTTTGGTCTGTTCGTGCCCTTTAAGTGTGAGGAGCGAAGCCTTGGACTCCCAGGTTGCTGGGTTGTGATGCTGTATGTGGAGGCGTGGTCAGAGCGGGGAAATGGCGACCCCCTCTGCTGTTTCTCACAGCTGGGTGAGGAGCAAAGCCTTAGGTGGTTCACCAGGGCCGGGCCACTAAGGGTCGCTGGGTTATGATGCTGTATGTGGAGGTTGGGTCAGAGCAGGGAAATGGTGGTGCCCTCCCTGCCGCTCGCCGCGGGGACCTGCTGGGTCCTGGTCCAATCCCCCACTCCCTTGCTTGTCTATCCGCGCACAAATGCCCGACCACAGTCAACCCGCAGCCCTGCTCCCTCGCTGTTTCCCCCGTGGTCGCTTGCTTGGTCGCTCGCTCGGTTGCTCACTAGGTCCAACCCTGCCCCTGGATCATGTGCCTGGATTCTGCGCGCCTGAGTCCGTCTGACTGAATTTTCCTGTGCAACCCCACTCCACCAGCTCCTGGTTTCGCCCCATACCGGTCAGGATGACGAATTTGTTGTTAACAGACTTCTGAAAAGTTCAATTTTCTGTGTTCTGGCTGTGTTTTCTCTTGCTAATATTTAGTTGTCTCTAAACTTGGTTGTGTGAGAAGGCACGGCATATCCACCTATGCCTCCATCTTGGTGGAAGTTTCTACCCACATTTTAAGAACTACAAATAAAGTTTTACTTTGATTCCCAGAGCTCAACCTGAACACAAGAGATTTCTGAATTCCATAAAGAACTGTGGGACCCTTGGAGTAATTAGGACAGCCCAGAAGAGCTGTGTTTTAGGAGTAAGGCCGAACTAGCCCTACAACATGCCTAAATGCTGATATTTCTTTTAAAGGACAAGCTGAACCAGAAAGTGATTTGACTGACTTCTAAAACAGAGTTACATACTTTTAAAGAAAGGAAGTAGAATCTGTTACTCAATGGTGTCACTTACCTAATGCCTGGGAGAGAAAACCACAAACAGTCCTGTGTTCAGGTGGAAATGCAGAGGTGGTGTCACCCTCACAGGTTAGAAAGGGCAGGGGCCCCTGGTGTCCCTGTGTAATACACCCGCCCACTCCCCACAGACACTGGGAAGGCTGTGAGGATGGAAGGCTGAGTGGATTTCACCAAATGCCAGCTCCTGCCACAGGTGCTGTGCTGGACACGTGGATTTACTGGACATCCTTTGGTCATTTCTAGACAGCCACGGATCTGGTAACCGAGAAGCAGTTCTAAACCCGGGTTCATGTTCACAGTTTTCGCAGGGATAAAATTCACCTCCTTCTCTCACAGCAGAGTCCAAAGGCTCTCAGCATCTGGACATTCAGCAGAACCTCGTATTTGTCCACAGTGTGGACGACTTCTTATGAGTGGGACCTGAAGAGTAGAGGGTGGCAAGGGCCCTGGTTGCCGTGGTTGGCACTGCAGGTGCAGGGAAGAAAGGAGGAACTGAAAGACTCGGGGCCTGTCAAGGCTGTGAGGGTATAGAGGTCTCACTCTCTGCGCCCTGTCAGGACATGCACTGAACAGTCAAGTACATCCCACTGCAGCTGGCCACGCCCAACACCAAGAATGAGGCACAACTCTGGGTGTGCGTCTTTGGACTGTGGAAGCAGCATATATCCAGCATTTGAGAAAGTAGATTTTTCACTTACTGGGGGAGTGAGAAGGCTGTGGGTGTGAATGGAGCCCAGTTCCAGAACCTGCAGCCACGGTCATGTGACCATGCAGCCCCCGTGCCTGGTGCACTGGGAGACTGTAGGCTTTCTCTGCCCAGGCCCTCTGGGCTCATGTCCTCACATCACCTGCAAGAGAGAGATAGACTCCATTTAGAGAGCTGCTCCTGGTGTGCTGCTGGGTCCCAACAGCAACTCAGTGACTGACTAGAAGACATCAGGGTCTTGCATTTGGAACCACCCATGAGGAGGGGACTGCCATTCCCACCAAGTCACGAGGTTGCAGCCGATCGTGGGATGAGAGTCCTGAGCCTGAAGCCGTGCATAGAGTTTCCAGAAATTGAAGGTGAGTCACACAGACAGGTGGGTTAGATGCATGACACACACAGCCCTACCTGTCACAGGGATGCCTCTCCTCCACCTGTCCTCTAGTGGGTCACGACTGGGTGGTGTGATGTTTCTGCCTAGTGACGCTCCACAGAGGGCCCCCACTTGGGGACACAGAAAAAATTGCTTTCTGTGGAGGCAGAGCGTGTGGGGTCTGCTGAGAGTCAGATCTGAAATGTCCAGAGCTTGTTGTCTCCTCAGGCCGATCCTTCAGGGAGGGGCTACTTCCCTTCCTGCCAGGCCACTGATGAGGAACCCAGGACCTGTCACACAGAGCTGAGACCGTGTAACACCCCATTCGTTACTCTGTGTTGCAGTGAATGTACACATCATCTGCACACTGGTGACCATGGCAAGAAGCACCACGACCCTGACCCTCAGTGTCCTTCTCTGTCTCGGTGAGCTTTGGGGGAAAGAGGAAGGTTGGAGTCCCCTCCCCTCCCAGGTTCTGGTCCAAGAGACCCCAGGAATCAGCAGGTTCAGTGGGGAAAGAACTCCTGGGGTCAGCAGAGGTGGCTAAGCCCCAGGTCTGACCCCAGCACTCAGGGGCCCAGACCAGGCCTGGAGCTTGTGTGTGTGGGTGGGGACGGTTCTCACAGGGACTCTCTTCCAGGGCTGTGTTGGGGCCCATGGCACCAGGTTCAGGCAGGTGAGTCCTCCCCCAGAACTCCTGCTTCAGCACAATGATGACCCTGGGCAGCTGGGGGACACCAGTGTGGGAGGGGCCTTGGAGTGACAGCTGGGGAAACTGAGGGGACAAGGACCCTTCTAACACTAAAGATCTGATTCCATTTCAGCAGTTCCCCCCAAACCCTCCATCTGGGCTGACCCAGGCCCCATCATCAGCAAGGGGAGCCCTGTGACCATCTGGTGTCAGGGGTCTCTGCAGGCGGATGGCTACATTCTGTATAAAGAGAGGGGCTCTGAGCCCTCAGATACGAGCATCCCACAGGCCTCCAGCAACAAGACCGGGTTCCTCATTCAGTCCATGAGCTCACAGCACACAGGGCTGTACCAGTGTGCATACAGCACTGGGGGCAGGCTGTCTGAGAGGAGTGAGCCCCTGCTCCTGGTGCTGACAGGTAAGGGGGAACCAGGTCTCCTGCCCACTGTGGGCTCCTCAGAGGATGAAGGGGACAGAGTGTGGCTTTAGGGGGGCCTCACGCCTCACAGTCTACTCCTGGGGAAGATGGGGTATGGTCCCCTTTACCTCAGATCCTCCTTCTCCCTCAGGAGAGCACAGCGCACCCTCCCTCTCAGCACTGCCAGGCCCTGTGGTGACCTCAGGAGGGAGAGTGTTTCTTCGGTGCAGCGCACAGTCCACACTGGACACTGTCCACCTGCTGAAAGAGGGAGGAGCTGAACCACCCCAACACAGGAAATCAGAACAGAGATTCTATGAGAGGAGGTGGCAGGCTGTCTTCCCTTTTGGCCCTGTGAAGTCCTCCCATGGGGGGACCTACAGATGCTATGGTTCCAACAGCTCCACCCCCAATGTGTGGTCACAGCCCAGTGCCCCTCTGCACCTCGAGGTCACAGGTGAGGTGACCCACACTTGGCTGCAATTCTTTCCTGGGCCCCAAATAACTGATCTAAATCTTGTACCTAGTAAAGCCCTGGGGGTTGTGGGGGTCAGTGACTCCAGTTTACTGGGGACAGAACCACAGGCAAGAGACTTAGGGAGAAACATGTGAGAGCTCTCCCTGAAGCCCCAGTAGGTGGTGGGTGGGTGTGTGTGTCCCCTGGGTGACAATGGCTTTCTCCCCAGGTGTGTACAGGGAGCCCTCCCTCTCAGCCCATCCAGGCCTCCTTCTGCTGCCTGGTGACAGCCTGACCCTCCAGTGTGCCTCAGAGCCTGGCTTTGACAAATTCGCTCTGACCAAGGAGCAGGGGCCAACACCGCCCCAGCATCTCCAGGGGCAGCACAGCCCCGACTTCCCCCTGGGCCCTGTGAACCTCACCCATGGGGGCCGGTACAGGTGCTACAGTGGACACAACCTCTCCTATGTGTGGTCGGCCCCCAGTGCCCCCCTGGACATCCTGATTGCAGGTGAGGGGCTCTGCCCTGCCCCCTGTCCTGACTGTCTGCTCAGGGCTGTGTCCTGGGGTCACCATGGTGATGATGGGCTCTAGGCAAGGGTCCTGGAGCAGAGGCTGATGGGGCTGAGGTCTAGGAGAAAGAGTGAGGGGCATGGAGATATAAGATGCCCACTCAGAGGGACTGAGAGGAGTGGACAATGGTCACAGACAGTGTCCCTGGGAAAAGACATGGTCCCTCAGCTCAGGGACAAGGGTATGTAGAGATGACCCTCTGCACATCACAGCCCTCCTCTCCCCAGGAAAGGACAGCAAACCCTCCCTCTCAGTCCAGCCAGGGCCCTCAGTGCCCTTGGGAGCGAATGTGACCCTGCAGTGTCGATCTGAGGTCAGGGCTGACACCTTCCACCTGCACAGGGAGGGGTCCCTGGACCCTCCCCAGCAGCTTCGTCTGCAGGACACAGCTGCCCTCTCTCAGGCCAACTTCACCATCAGCCCTGTGACCTGGGGCCACAACGAGACTTACAGGTGCTACAGCTCACACAGCTCCTCCCCCTTCCAGCTGTCACAGCCCAGTGACCCCCTGGAGCTGGTGTTCTCAGGTGAGGAGCCCCTTCCCATCCCCATGCTGTCATGGTCAGTGCAGGACCCTGTCCCCCAGGGGAACTTTAGGCTGGATTGGGACTGAGAGGGTCACGGAAGGAGGGTCAGCCTTAGGGGACCCTCACCTCCCACAGGGATGGAAAAGCCGGAGCCACCCCACCCCTGTCTCATCCTCATCCCCATCCCTGGGGCCCAGACAGGTTCCAGGGCCCCAGGGAGGCTGGAGAGGCCACAAGCTGAGCAAAGGGAGGAAAGGCCAGGGGCACCCATCCCGATCCCCCTCCTTCTCCAGTGCCCATGGCCTGACTCAGACACCAGGACAAGCATGGTGAGTAGCAGAGGCCTTGCTCCCAGAGAGAACCAGATCCCACGCTCTGGCACGCTTGGCCAGACACTGATGCCGGGGGCATATTGGGGCCCCCAGGGCCGTGAGGCAGACAGGTGACGAGTGGGGGTGTCGTGGCGGAGGGACGTGCTGTGGTCCCACTCATGTGAAGGACAGTCAGGCTCAAGTGGGGAGAAGGCAGATCCCACTCTTCACCCACCACCCTGTTCTCCAGGAGGCTCTAAGGGCCAGCCCAACATGAATTCAGGCACCCAGTTGGGTAAGTGAGGGCCTGGGAAGTTGGGGGGTGGGGAAGCTCAGTTCTGGTCTTGGCTCAGCCAGTTCCTGGATAAGAGCCTGAGAAAAGTTCTTTCTTCTCTCTGGGGCCAATTTCTCTAAAGGCTGCTCGGACTGTGTGTGTATGGGTGGGTGTGTGTACACATGTGTGACTGCCTGTGTGTGTGTGTGTGTGTGTGTGTTATGTGAGCTCTCCTCTGTAAGCCTTCCAAGGAGCAGCTACAGAGTTAGGGAAAGATGCCCCACTGGTGGTTCAGCTCCCAGCCCAGCGATGGGATCTTGGACAAGTCCTGTTCCTCTCAAGTCAAGGTCACAGGCTGTGGAACAGGTCTCCTGCCACCTCCCCCAAAGGGAGAGCCCTCGGCAGGCAGCCGGGCCCTGTGTCGAGCTCTGGAAGGACACAGCCCACCCGCAGCCTTTACAGATGCGCACTGTGTGCACAGGGGCCGCACCACGGCAGGGGGTGGTGTCGGTCTACAGAGTGGGAGACCGGTGGGGCTGGGGAGTGGCGGTGACCGCGTGTGGTAACAGGTCTCTGCACTGGTGTTCTTTCTCCCTGGAGGACATGAGGAGAGCATACACAAAAAATTTTTAAAAATAATAATAGTAATGACAATCACACAAGGGAACCCATGTCCCAGGGTTCAGTCCTGCCCTAACCAGGCTGGGTGGCCTGGGGCACGTGGCTAACCTCTCTGAGCTGCAGTGGACTGGTCAGTGGGTCAGCCATCCTGGTGCACGAGGGCTGTGAGGTCAGAGCAGGTGAACAACAGACCTCCGCCGTGCTTGCTCCTTCACCTGGTTTATCTGCAGGTGAATGTGTGAGCACAGTCAGCCCACCCACTTGCGCCCTCACTGGGTTGGCATTGCTACCCACTCCTGGGGGCTGCCTGCATGCCTGGGTCGGGGACCTTTTCTGCCTGACCCTGCTCCACTGCTGGCTCCGCCACTGGCTCCAGCCCTCTTACCTGGCCGAACAGTTCGTTGTGGTCAGACTTCCATATAGTTCAATTTTTTGTGTTTTGGCTGCGTTTCTGTTGGTAAAACTTTGTTGATTTTAAACTTGGTTGTGCGAGAAGGCACAATGTTTCCACCTACACCTCCATTTTGATGGAAGTCTCTCAGGAATCTTTTCTGCTTGTTTCTTATCAGTCACACTATCTAGGGTACAAACTCAGTAAATGCTTAAGTCTGGTAAGTGTGGTAATCCTTGATCCCAGAAAGGTTGCACGGTGTCTTGGATATATTCCACCATTTATTTTCTAAGGAAAGAATTGATAGAAAAAACAAAAGTGATGTGAAAATATATAACTCTAAGTCAGAGACCCAAAGCATGATATGAGGTGGAGGAACTTCATGATATGAAGCGTTGTTGGCCCAATGCTTCACTGCCTCATGTTCCTGACCTGAAGGCCTACTAAGGGCCCAAAAGTCACCTTGGCATCCTAATTCCATGCAGACAAGAGGCCAAAGACGCTCACCTCAGGGAGGTGATGGGCATGGCTAGTCACAGGGACTCACTGGAGATCAGAGAAAATAGGACTGAGGTATCCCCACATCTCTTCTGTCACACTGTATGTGTGATTGATTCCCAGGAGAAGCTAACACTCTGGGACCATCATGGAATGAGCCAGGCTCCCAGGGTGGGGGGTAAGGTCCAATTCCCACTTATTGGGATCAAGGCAGAGGGCCAAGTCCAGTCAATGGAAGTCAGGTGACTTGGACAGGCAGCCAGAGATCATGGCGTGATTTATCATTACTGTGACCTCTGTGACCTGTTTGTCCTCAATGTCTAGACTCCAACACCCAAGACTACACAGTGGGGAACCTCATCCGCTTGGGTGTGTCTGGCTTCATCCTCGTGGTCCTCGGGGTGCTGCTGTGTGAAGCTTGGCACAGTTGGAGAAGACCCCACGATGCAGCCAGGAGTTGAACACAGGGGACAGCAAACCCACCAGTCAGCGAGGCAGAGCCTGGAGAAGAGTCTGATGACCCCAGGAAGCTCTGGAGGAAACTGTGGGCGCCCCCGGGAAAGAGTCTGCTGAGAATGTGGAGGAAGTGGGCTTGGTTCCCATGCAGGGAGAGGCGGGGCCGGGGCTGGAGAGGCTTCCCCACAGCTAGACTGTGGGCGTCTCCCCTCACTGCACTGCTGACCTTCCTTGGCTGCGCCTCTGTTCTCCTCCGTGTGACCTGGGGCTCAGCCCACATCACAGGTTTGGATCCACCCCTGGTCTCCCCCTGCCTTTCTGGTCCATGTTCTAGTAGGACATTTTTTTTGTTTTTATTGCCCACATTCACTCATTTTGGGTCTCTTTTGGTCAGATTGGTTAGATGCAAAATCTTTTTAAAACATCTAAATAAATGGATAAATATCAAAAACAGTTTCACATGGCATTGGCATGGTTCACTGGGTTTGTGACATTTGCCTAATTCCTGGGTGTAGATGCTCCTTGAGGATGGGGAGAGCTGCCACCACCCTCTCCCTTCTGCACCCATCTTTGTCTTCCTCCACCAGCTTCACTGAGTCTCAGCTGTACACCCTTCAGGCCCGTTTGTTGGGTTGCAGTGACTTGTGTGGATTATTTTGTGTGGACGTGCTCAGGGCTGTCCCTGGGGGTCTCAGTGCTCTGTGCCCAGGCCTGCCCAGAGCGGCCCCCCCTTCAAGCCCACAGGTGCACAGGCTGTCTTGCCGCGGCCCGATGCCAGTGCAGTGACAAGACTGCTGGCCATCAGGATCCTGCCCAACCTCCGAAGTGGGCCACGGAGTCCAGGGGAGACGCTGCGCCATCATCTCCTCCCCGCCCTCTTAGCCCCAGTGCTCCTGCACCTGGTCTGAATCCTATGCTTGCACCGCTGCTGCCAAAAGCCACCACACTGCCTTCTGGGGCTGCACAAAGCTCCTTCTAGTCCTCTCCCCTCACCTCGCTCTGCAAATGCACACAGGTGAGCGTCCCATCTGGCTGCAAGTACAAGTTCGACACACCTGGCTGCGAGTTCAAGTTCCCACGCTGCCGGGAGCTGCCCTCCACCACAAGATGCACAGGGGGCAGAAGCGCTCCTGCTTCCTTCCCTGCTTCAACTGCTTCACCTGCAGCGACTTCCTTTTCCAAACTAGGGCGCCACCAGTCTGATTTGGCTGTAACTGGTCCAGGAGCCTTGGTCCCCACTTAGCGCCTCGCCAGCAGCCTGAGAGGAGCCCTACGCACAGCCCAGCCCTCAGCTCCACTTCTGGCGGGTCCAAGCTCCTCATGCAGCCTGCTTGGAGCTCTCCCAGCCCGAGCACCAGCAGCAAGCCTGTCTTCCTGGGCGCCTTTCAGCGATCCCCTGAAGACCTTGAGATGCCTCTGATCCCCTCAAGAGAGCAAGGAAAAGGTCTGAGACTGGACTACAGTCAGCCAGCTGACTGTCTGGCATGGGATCTGGGGCCTGTGTCTGTAACCCACGAGCCTTTAATTTAAGAATAAACAATATGACAGAGAAAGAGAGAGAGTGTTTACCAATAATAACTGGCCAGATACACTGAAAGATGAGGACCAGACCTACAACCTGAGAATCCTGCCACAAGAGGGAGCCACAAGCATGAAGCTGGCCCAGCCACACAAGGTCCCAGAAGCCACAGAGCATATGCAGGACCAACAGAAAACATCTCTCAGCACCAGGCAGCTGGTCAAGCTTGGAGGAGGTGACTGAGACATCACATACAAAAAGAGAACACAGCACTCCAAAGATCAGAAAGAATCAAAGTCTGTGCCATCACCAAAGATCATAATAGCATCCCAATAACTGAACCCAAAGACATGGAGAACAGCACTTTACTCAACAGATAACTCAAAAGAAGCTCAATGAACTATAAGACAAAAATAGAAATACAACTGAATAAGGTCAGGAAAACTTTTACATGTGCCAAATAGCCAATTCAACCAAGAGGCAGAAGTCATAAAATAAATCCCGTAATTTCTGGGGCTGAAAAATTAAGTGAATGACATGAACAATGGTACAGAGGGCAACCACCAAAGGGAAGAGAAACAAGAGGCCAATATTCTTGTTGAATATAGATGGAGAATGTCTCAACGAATATTAGCAGGACAAATTGAAGGGCACGTTAAAAGTTTTCTACACCATGATCACATGGATTTAACACAGGGCTCTGAAAATTTGCAAAAAGATTTTAACCTGTGAAAATTAGCGAAATGTTTCACCACAATAATAAATCAGTGATATAAAACATATGGTTGGGCCCTGGCTGGCATAGCTCAGTGGATTGAGCGCGGGCCTGCGAACCAGAGTATCGTGGTTCGATTCCCAGTCAGGGCACATGCCTGGGTTGCAGGCTAGTTCCCAGCAGGGGACACATGAGAGGCAACCATGCATTGACATTTCTCTCCTACTCTTTCTCCTTCCCTTTCCCTCTCTCGAAAAACAAATAAATAAAATATTTAAAAAAAACATATGGTTGGTTAAATAGATGAAGAGAAGTCATTGGAGAAAACATACCATTCATTCAAAATAAACTTTTCATAAAAAACATGGTCAACAAATTGGGGATGGAATGACCACACCTCAGCACAACAAAGGAGCCTTGTGAGGGGAGGGCCCTAGGTCTTGAAAGGCACTTGTCTTCCTGCATGAAACCCCTCCCTGTGGGCATCAGAAGGCAGAACAGAGTCCCCACAGGGCCTGTCATTTTCACCATGAGGCATATCTTTGAACCTCCTGTGGAACAGGGGCCATAGTTCACCCCAGTGAGTGTCTTGTTCTCAGGCAAAGCCAGGTGAGTCCAAGAGAGATTGTGTACCTACTGGCCCAGCAGGGGGCCTTCAAGGCCCTTCACTTGGGAGTCCTCACAGCTGCCTTCCCTGAGGCTCCTTGCTGGTTAAAGGCACCTTGACATAAACCATTAGCTCCCACAGCTCTGCTGTCTCTCAGTGTGTGAGACTCCAGGTGATAGACGTGGGTGGGAACAGCAGAGGACTGGGAGTCTGAACCATCAGTCCCAGCTAAGAGGGTCACAGGTTGGCATGTGGATGGTGGACTGGTCACATTTCCTTTCTTAGGCAGAGTTTCTGTCTCTTTTTAACAAATGAGGTGAGTATTACCCCACCAAGTAGTTGTGAAGCTCACATGAGATGATGCATGGGTCACAGAGTGCAAACATAAATGTTTTCTTACTGAAGGTCAAGGGGGGACCCTGATAGACCCCATGTCTCAGAGTAAGTGTTATCTACTTGTTGGTGTGGGGAGCCTTGGAGTTCTCCGTGAGTGAATGAGACTTGGTCTTCCTCATCTCTAAGGTGTCCCATTATTTCTCTCTGGAGCTGTTACTAAATGCCATGCTCACTTCTTTCCTTCTGACACCATAGATATGACATTGGCCCTCCTTATTCTAGTCCCTGACAACTGAAATCCCCACTTCTGTTCTCCCTATGCTGCATTTTGGAAATTTTCTCAAAGTTGTACTTCACTGTCATAACTGGAACTTGAGCTGTGTCTCATCCTTCATGGGAAAAATTATTTTTTAAAGACATATATTTTATTTATTTATTTTTAGATAGAGGGGAAGGGAGAGAGAAAAAGAGGGAGAGAAATATGAATGTGTTTTTTCCTGTCTTGTGCCCTATACTGGGGACCTCGACCAAAAACCAGGCATATGTCCTGACTGGGAATGGAACCAGCAACCCCTTGGTTCACAGACCAGCACTCAATCCACTGAACAACAGCTGTCAGGAAAGAAGAATTCTTTTAATGTGTCCATTCGACTGGGTATTTCCTCTCTCAGATTTCTAACTCACTAAATTCTTTTATAAAACAATTTTTGAGGCATGTTGTCTAATGTGGCTCAAGTGAAACCCTCCGCACCTGCTATTTTTAGGGTGAGCAGAGCTTGTCCTCTTCCTGTGTGACAGGCCCCTTGCACAGTGCACACTGGGGTGTGGAGAGCCTGCCCACCACATCCTGTGACTCTGCCTCTTCAGCTTCACTTTTACAAATGAAAGACAAATTCTCAAGAGCTCTGCTACAGAACTGACAGTGGGACTGTCCCACATTCCCTGATGGATGAGTAGCCCCAAACTGAGGCTGCAAGGCAAATTCAAATTTCTAATCACAGAATCTGCAAGTCAGGACAGCTCTCTGGTTCCAGACCTGGTTCAACCTTGACCAGAAATGTGCATGTATATATAAAACATTTTCCTTAAGACCCTGGACTCCCACCACTTATAATAATGTCCTCTCCTTTCTTATGTTAATCCTGAGAGGCAGATAGTGAGTTCAGCACTGGGAGGCGGACAGCTCCACCCATTTAGGGGGCAGCCAGCCTCTGTACCTAATCCAGGGGTCCTTGAATTTAACATACAAGGGGAATATAAGTAGGACTAAATGGTTTCCATGTTTTGTGCAGGATATTGTACAGGTACACACTTTCTCCCATAGTTGACATGCGTGACAACTACATTTTAAGTGCATGTAGTCATTTGCTCTTTCATTGTATGGAGAAGCCAGAACACATTCCACAGCACAAAGTAGATCTTGCTTCAAAAGACATAACAGGAACTGAGAGTTCAGTTAAGGCCCAAGGATGGACACTCTTGGACGTGGGATAGTAATTCAGCTGAAGACAATAGGAAGATAGATTCATCTTGTCAAGGAAATGATATTTCCCCTCATACTCATCTCAGTCACAGAAAAGTCCCCGTGAGTACCTGGAAGCTGATTCTTTGTTGAGTTCCGTGAAACAGATCAAAAGGATTAGTGGTAGCCTAGAACTGTGAAACACTCCTGTTTCACAAACAGTGTCCTGTCGAGAAGGAGGAAAATCTCTGCTGGGTAGAATGCAATGTCTGGGTGGATGAGTCTGAGATTCATGAGTGGCCCTGATTCTGCATTTTCCAGGAGAAAAAAAAAAGTCAGATCCTCAAATCCTAGTTTCAAGAGTACATATCTTCTCAGGGACATTTTGAAAAAAGTCCAGCTAAGATGAAGCACCACAAGATTATGCTTTTAGTATTGACGAGCTGATTCTAAAATTTATATGAAAAAGAAAAGTACTGTAAGAGCAATTCTATGTGTGTATTGATAAATTGCTGTGGGCTCATGTTCACTCTCTGGTGAAATATGAAGCTGAAAAACTTTTTAAAGTTCACTGTACATGTAAATAGCAGTTTTGTAATTTGAATGTTAGAGATTTTTTCTTGTTTTTCTGTTGCTCTCTGGTGTTGTCTTACACCTTCCTATTTCTTAAATCTTCTCAGTACCAGCCCTTCTTCACTTCTTTTATAGCCTTTGTTTGAAAGAAGGTTGTGTCTATTGTAAGTAGTGCTACCTCGATTTCTTTTTGTTTTTACTTTTAGAACATATATTTTTCATCCTTCTACTCTCAGTCTGTGTGTGCCTTTCCACCCGAAGTGAGTCTTTAGTAGACACCATGTATATGGGTCTTGTTTCCTTGTTCATTCTGCTCCCCTATAGTCTTTGAATGAAGCATTTTCTCTGTTAGCATTGAAATTGATGGTTCACAGACATGTATTTATTGACATTTTATTTTAAATTTTTAGCCATTTTTCTTTCTACCTGAAGAAGACCCTTTCCATTTCTTGTAATAGTGGTTTGATGATGATAAACTCCTTTTGCTTCCTCGTGGCTGGGAAGCTCTGTATCTGCTCTTGGATTCTAAACGTCAGATTTTCTGGGTAGAGTAATCTTGGCTGCAGGTTCTTCATTTAATCACTTTGTATATTTTGTGCCAGTCATGGAGGGCCTGCAAAGGTGCTGTTGGTACATCAAAGGGAGGAACACACTGCAGACTCCTGAACAGCAAGGATGGGGCCAGCAACCTCAGTGGAGGAACAGCTGGAAGGGGCTGGACCCCCTGGGGCAGAACTCACGTCAGCAGGGCTCTGGTGTCTGCTGACTCCACCCCTGGAGTGTGTCACTGGTGGGGGGATTGGGTGGTGGTCTGGTGTGGTCTGAAGTTGTCCACTGGGTGTGTTGGCTCCAACGCCTCCCAGGATGTGCAGGCCAAGGTCAGCTACCATCTGTGCCCACCCTGGGGCACCTAGCATGAGCTACCAAGAAATCTAATAATGGCTGCCACTTGTGCTGGGCTTGTAGGTGCTGGGGAGAGGCCACACTACCACCTGAGTCTGGCTGCTACTACTGCCTTGCTTGGGGACACCTAGCTGAGGTACAGAGCACACTGAGTCCAGAAATTGCTTGTTTCGGTTTGGCAGACCTCTGAGAGACTTTAGTATAAGCCAAGACAGGCTGTTTGTATGGCAATCTCCTGGAAGTGGCTTGAGTGTGCTGACAAGTTGGGTGGTCAGAGTCTCAGGGAATCATCAGAATGGGGTGATTTAGGTTGATGAAGACTCAGATTTGGCACCTGCCTGTGCCTGTGGGGAGCACTCAGCATGTGTGTGTGGGTGAAGCTGTCCCTCCAGCCCAGGCCCCAGAGTCAGACAGTTCACTTCCTGCCCATATGTCCCAGGTGCCTTTCGCAGTGCTGCCCCAGCACTGGAGCTCAGAGGGACTGAGTCCAAGGAAGTCTGTGCACAGGCCCATTGATAGGACACCTGAAACTCCAGTTGCTTCTGTCTCACTCGGCCATAATCCCTGCTGGTTTCCACAACCAGAAATGATGGGGATGTCACTTCCCATCACTGAACCTCTGGGCTGGGGAACCTGGTGCGGGGCTGGGATTTTTTGTTCCATAAGGGGGACTTCCACAGTCAAGATAAAATTCCTGAATTTGAGCTTTCTTTGTGGATGTGGCAACAGCTTATTGTGTGTCCTCAGGTCTCTACCTGTCTCGATGTGGCTACTTTTTGAACTCTTTGTAGTGGGACCTCTGTTCAGCTACTTTTCAGGTGACTGTGAGGGATAATTGTTCTGTCACTTCATTGTCCTTTGGTGGTTCTTGTGGAATAGCGTGAGTTCCATGTTTACCTATGCCGCCATCTTGGGCAGAAGTCTCGATGTTTGATGATAAATCAGTCATTTTGAATGTTTGCCACCTTTTCATTTAAATAGTAGCTAAGTTTCATTTTAAATAGTTTTTAAAAATTTCCAGAGCCATTTTGAATCAATTATGTTTTATGTAATTACATCAACTCATTTTGACGTTGTATGTGCATTTCCAATTAGGGCAGTTACCCCCATTGTTACTATTGGAATTTATGATTGTGAACCACTTTTGCTTCCTCCCCTTCTCTGTGACTCCACTTTTGTCCATTATTCTTCTGGCTTAAGTGCCTATTTTCATTTGCTTTCACTGAGCATGTAAACAATAAAATATTGGAGAACTTGTATGTCTGTGAAGTTCTTATTTTCATTAGGATAGTTGAAGACATTTGCTTTTTTCAAATAAAGGATATCATTCCAACACAAGGTGTGGGACTTCTCTGTTGGTTTTGATTCTACATGCCAAGCCCTCAGAAGCCAGAGCCTGCTGTGGTGGATTTGACACCAGAGACCAGAGTTCAAGCAGGTCAGACCTGACTTTCTCTTGCGAGACTAATGGGTCATTCCCCTCTGACCCTTTCACCTAGCTTATGATAAACATTTGGGTCTGTACAGAATTCTACATTTACAATGAAGTCCATGAATATATTTCCCCCCTCTATTAGTATTGAGTTTGTTTGAAAGTCAGCTACCACCATCCCCCCGTCTTGCCATGAATAAAAGGACACATTTCATCCTACACCATACGCATGCTCCCTGATACTGCAGAGTCTCTCTGCCCCTCTGTCAAATGGCCAACCTTGGTCTCTAGGGCAGACACAGGCACCAGTCTCCCCACTCCTGTCAAACCTCTCAGTATTCATTGGACACCCACTTTCTAGTCTTCATGTATGTTAGTTTTTTAATTCTAGTCTCTCACAATTGCATCCTAGAAAATAGCCTGGGTGCTGGGGGCCACTCAGTCACAGTCTCTGTCCTCCATGTGGGTCCCTCTCTATTTGGGGATTTCATTTCTCTTTCCTGCATGTATCTGACCTACATACTTCAGAACTGTTGTGAGTAGCTGTGCTTGGTGTTCACAACAGACAGGGTCTTGAGTAGACAAAACAATCCTGCCCTTGACCCTGGACACCTTGACCCTCTCATGTCCCAGCCCACTCACGTCTTCATCTGGTTTGGAATTGAAAGCCTCCTTCCCATGAACCAGCGCCACTGACCCACAGCCACTGTAGGGACTGGGCTTTGTGACAACAGGATCCAAATGAGGAGACAGAGGCAGAGACTGGACATTACCACTCAAGGACACAAGGACATTGGATGATGAGTATTTAAGTAAATATCTGCTTTAAGTAAAAATCAGTACTGTAACCCAATACAATGTCCCCTGAACCTTGAATAAAGAACCACAGAACAAGGAGGAGATTTGAACCAGGAAACAAGGGCACAGAGGGGGGCAGTGGTCACTCAGAGGCTTGTCCCCAGGAAGGTGGGTGGACACTGCTGGTAAGAAAACATGAGAAGTTGATGAAAGTGGCTGGGTTAGAAAGAAAGACTCACTCCGGGGTCAGGAAAATGCACGTGTGCCCTTCCCTCACTTCCCTGTGTCTTTCCTTTGTGCTCATTGTCACAGTGACACTTGCCTGCACTGCACAGTGAGGAGGGGACAGTGTCTCTGCTGAGCTGAGCTCTGCAGGCACAGGGACCCCTGTGTTTCTGAAGCATCTCCAGGGTCTGGGTGACCACTGTGCATGGGAAGGACCCATGGGGAGGGGCTGATGGTCAGGTAGGGAGGGAATGGGATCCCATGGGGGAGGCTCTGACCTGGAAGGTGAGGCCCTGGGTCACCTCATCTGCAAGGGGCATCTCAGGAGGCTCCAGGTTTAATTCTTCCTCCATCATGAGAACAAGGGCCGGACTCCTGAAGACACACTGTTCCCCTTCCTCGGGGTCTGGTGACGTAACAACCCCGTGACAGGAACGGCCAGCCTCCCACTGGCCACACCCTGAGAGTCTGTCTACACTGAACACACCGTGGTCTCTTCCTTCTGCACAGCTGGGTTCAGAGTGGAGACTCCATGTCCCCCATACTCATGGCCCTGCTCTTCCTTGGTGAGATGTGAGGGGAGAGGGGAAGCCCTGCTCTGTCAGGACCCCAGGGCTGGGGAGGCTCCCGGGAAGGAGGGTTCCACTCACGACTCAGGGCAAATCTCTCACAGGGACTGTCTTGCAGGGCTGAGCGTGGGCCTGAGGACCCCAGTGCAGGCAGGTGAGTCTGTCCTCAAATGTCCCAGGACCCTCTCCACATAAAGGACAAGGTGTTTCCTCATCAGGCAGCTGTGGATGGAGAATATAAGTTCTGGGTTAATGAATGGGGGACATCTGAGAAGATTGGGGTGAGATCTGGGCACTGGGATGGAAATGTCTTGTGACCCAGGCTCTCATTCCTTCCAGGGACCCTTGCCAAACCCACCCTCTGGGCTGAGCCAGACGCCATAACCCGGTTGCGGAGCTCTGTGACCATCTGGTGTCAGGGGACCCTGCAGGCCATTGAGTTCCGTCTGGATAAAGATGGAAGCCCACAGCCGTGGCGTAGACAGAAGCCACTATATCCAGGAGACAAGGTCAAGTTCTCCATCACACACATGACAGAGCATGATGCAGGAAAATATCACTGCTCCTATGTCAGCCTCACTGGCTGGTCAGAGCGCAGTGACCCCCTGGAGCTGGTGTTAACAGGTAAGGGGAAACCAGGGGTCCCAGCCTCAGGCTCTGCCCTCAGGAAGGGGGATGCTCTTAGGGGGTCTCCTCCTCACAGCCCAGCCCTGGGGTAAATGAGGGAGGTGTGAGCCCCATTTACACATGCTGCCTCCTTCTCTCCTAGGATCCTACTACTACAGCAAACCCAGCCTCTCAGCCCTGCCCAGCCCTGTTGTGACCTCAGGAGGGAATGTAACCCTCCAGTGTGGCTCATGGGAGAAATTCAACAGGTTCATTTTGACCAAGGAAGGAGAAGACAGGCTCTCCTGGACCCTGGACTCACAGCAACACCCCAGTGGGGAGTCCCAGGCCCGGTTCTCTGTGGGCCCTGTAATTCCCAGCCACAGGTGGACATTCAGATGCTATGGCTGTTACAGAAACAGACCCCAGGTGTGGTCACAGCCCAGTGATGCCCTGGAGCTTCTGGTCTCAGGTGAGGAAGTCCTATCCTGGTTCTATCCATATATTGAGGCACCAGACAGTTTATTGGGGTGTTTACCGGGAGGGGAGCCTTGTGTGAAAGGTGGGGTGAGGGGGGCACAGGGGCTCCTGCGTCAGAGACACAGAGGGACAGGGGGACCTGGGGGCCAGGCCAGGAGGAGGGTTCATGGCAGGAGCAGCCCTGTCATTCCTGTCTGGTCCCTGCAGGTAGCTCAAGGAAGCCCTCCCTCCTGACCCAGCAGGGCCCCATTGTGGGGTCTGGACAGAGCCTGACCCTCCAGTGTCTGTCTAACATCGGCTATGACAGATTTGCTCTGTCCAAGACAGGGGGACAAGACCTCCCCCAGATCACTGACCTGCAGCCCAAGGCGGGGCTCTCTCAGGCCAAATTCCACCTGGACACTGTGAATGGCTCCCATGGGGGCCAGTACAGGTGCTATGGTGGACACAGCCTCTCCTCTGAGTGGTCAGCCCCCAGTGACCCCCTGGACATCCTGGTGGCAGGTGAGAAACCAGTGGGATCATTTGGGGAACCAGAGTCTGCTCAGGCCCTGCAGGAAGTCTCAGATGGTGATGGTCAGGACAAGGAGTGTGGGGTCCCCTAAGAGAGAGAGAGGGAAAGAAATACGTGATGAAAGGGGGAGTGGGAGACTCACAGAAACCAGAGACAGACAGAAAGGAGGGTCGTCAGAAAGGGGCCTAGTGACTCTTGGGTCATAACACAGTGGGCAGCAGCCCCTCACCCACCCACCCCTCTCTCTAGGATGGCTCCCTGACAGACCCTCCCTCTCGGTGCAGCCTGGCCCCACAGTGGCCTCAGGAGAGAACGTGACCCTGCTGTGTCAGTCACAGAGCCCAAGGGACACTTTCCTTCTGACCAAGGAGGGGGCAGCCAGTCCCCCGCTGCGTCTCAGATCACAGTCTCGAGCTCAGCAGCACCAGGCAGAGTTCTCCATGGGTCCTGTGACCTCAGCCCATGGGGGGACCTACAGGTGCTACAGTGCAAACCACGATAGACCCTACCTGTTGTCACAGCCCAGTGACCCCCTGGAGCTCCTGGTCTCAGGTAAGACCCCCTGACTGTCTTTCTGAGCTGTTGGCTCAGGTCCTCTTCCCCAGAAGAACTGTGGGCTGCAAGGGGAGGGACAGGGCTCCAGGGATGGTCACCCAGCAGAGACCTGCCCCCTCAGAGACCCTCCTACACACGTCCACCCCTCTCCCTCACCTGAGCACAGACAATGCCAGGTGCTCAGCAGCAGGGGCTTGAATGGGCCACTGCACAGCTGCATGGGAAGAGTCTTAGAGCTGTGGGACCCCAGGGCCCACACCAGACTCTAACCCATCTGTGTCCTCCTTCCCAGAATGCTCTGAGGCCCAGTCCACCACCCACTGGGCCCCTTTCTACAACCAGTGAGTTAGTGGGGCCCTCTGTTCAGAGACGGCACAGCCTACCCAACGGCCATTCCGAGTCTCTCAGGGAAGTCAGTGCCCTAGGATCTTAGAGACAAACAGACTGAGTCCCAGGTGGGCTAGAAGTTGAGGACAAACCCAACAGGGAACAACAGAGTGGCAGGGGCTCTGAGGTTTGTCCCATCACCCCCCTTTCCAAGTAGAGTCAGTCTTGCAAACCAGTAAGTGAGGGTTTCTGTGGGGAGGTGGAGGGTGTGGCCAGGGGGACAGGGGCTGAGTCCTGGGCAAGTTCAGGCACCTCTGGAGGCTCCGACTTGGACACACCCTTCCCCTCCCTGTGCCTTATTGTCTCCAAGTGTAAAAGGAGAGAATCATGGCCCAGAGGTTAGATTTCCTTTCAGTTCTGGTTCTTACCTTCTTGGGGGGGGAGGGGCTCAAAAGGAGGTGCTTTAGGACATGATGTCATGGAGACTGTGTGCTCTGCAGCGGTGATGGTGACACTGGACATGGAGGGACAGGAATAACATGGGTTTGGGGCATCAGGTCTATTTCTAGCTCAGGTGCTCACTCAGAGGAGGGAACAATGGCTAGAGTCAGACCTGGTTCAGGTCCCAGCTCTGCTGCCGCTACTGTGGGGCTGGGTGTTCCCTTCTCATTTCTGAGTATCGGGTTCATGTCTG